TTATAACTTCTTGGTTTATACCACACATTGCAAACCTTTACCTTGCTGGCAGAATACCTGTCAGGTGGAATTCCTTTATTATATCACTCTGACTTACGTGATATTAACTGCTCCTGTGACTCAAGTCCTTCTGGCTTCATATCTTGTTCAGCCTCTCCTCCCTGAACAATGACATCTTCAATAATGATTTTTTCATCATTAGATGAGTTATTGTCACTAAACAGATCACCGTCATTAAGTGAGACATACCCAGAATTTGCATTAATTCTGTCCCAATTTTGTTCTGCAAAATTAGCAGACCTTGAAATTACAACTCTTTTACTTCCATCACTAAAGCGATATCCTTTTGACCCTGGCTCATAGCCCACAAACCTGAGCATTCTTACCTTTGCTGTCCCTTTCTTCTGATTGCTTTTGGAATATGTACCCATGCAGTACTTCCAAAAATTCTCAAATGTGCCAGTGATGGCTTTCTCCCATATAGAATGGCATATGGAGTATTATTAATGGAGGAACTTCACAGCCTGTTAATTATATAATTGGCAGTCAATATGGCTTCTCCCCAATATGTCCTGCTCATACCAGAATCCTCCAATAATGAATCTTTCATTGTTTGCAAAACACCATTCCTTCTTTCAGCTACACCATTCTCTGCTGCTGTGTAAGGACTTGTACATCTGTGTCTTATCTGGCCTTTTGCCAAAGCCACACCTAGTTGTGCTACTGAAACAAACCTGCAAAATAATTCAGAGTCATTAACAATTGTTTGACTTGCCCCACTATTAATTAGTCACTTGTCTCTGTTGTTGCTATTGCAAACATTTACAACACCGAAATGTTCCTTTTGCAAAACAGTCCTTTTTCCTTGCACAAATGTCTTTTTCTGCAAATTGTTCCTCTGCAAACAGTTTCTTTGCAGATGGTTGTTTGCTCCACAAATGTAGCAAGTCTTTTCCCACTGAGCAGCTCTCTGCTTGCAAAATCTCTCCTTTGTTGGAATTTGGTCCGGGTCCGATCTGCTTGTTTCTTCTTCTCTGGAGACTTGCAGTCTGGACCCCCTTCTCAGGAATTTCTCCTCCTCGTGGCTGCTTCTAAAATGGCGTTTTTCTTCTTCATTAAGCAAACATGCCTTTATAGCCTCAAAATTTAAGTCTTGCTCTTCTTTGCATTCAAATATCGTAGAACCTGTATCCCAGGTTTTATCTAAACTGTTCAACACCAATAAAACCTTCTGGGACTCAGGGAATTTAATCCCACGTTGTTCTAAGTCCAAAAATAAACTTTGCATTTTATTTAAATGCTGTTCCACAGATTCACCTGGTTGCAAACAGGCCCTGTAAAGTTTTCTTGACAATTGCACTATATTGCATGCAGAAACATTCACGTGCACAGCTCTTAACTTCAACCAAATCTCCTTTGCAGTCTTTAAATTTGCAACATTTAGAAATTGTGCATCATCTAAATTCAAGATGAGATAAGCCATTGCTTGATCATGGCTTTTCTGATCTGCAGCTGCAAATACTTGTGGTGGATTTTCAACAATTTTACCACAGCTCTTTTGCTTTCAGCAAACATTCCATTTTTGCAGCCCACACAATGTAATTCTTCTGGCCCAAACGAGGCACACAGCTTTCTTTAAATTCCATTGTAGCCATTTTGCTAATTCTGCCTTGTTCTTAAACTTTCTAAACACAGGCAATTTCTTCCAGCTTTAAATTACAATGCAGTCCTTAGTAAGCTCTGGGCCCATAACCTGTTAGAGAATTTTAATTTCTCTATTGGTGAAAAAATAAATCAGAAGCTCTCACAGTTGACTGCATTTAGCTGATTCAAATAACTTTATATTTATATAAAAATATTTACAATACCATTCTTCTTTACAGCAACATAGCTTAATGAAGAGTTCTTACAGAGACAGACCAGCGACAAAAACTTGAGACTGGAAATCCAGCTCCTAACTCAATACCTTTTGCACAGATTCAGTAGCCCTTTCTTCTCATTGGCTGACTGAGTTACCACATGACTCTTCCTGTTCATGAATATTCCAACAGATTGTACAACTAAATTATTGAAAAAGTTTCACGATGGTAAATTTTCATGCGCCAGGACAAAATGTGAGGCTATTATTAAATCAGTATTTAAAAATTACTGTGACAAAATACTTACAGAAGACTTGGAAACTACAGCATTTGTAACGGTTTTATCTGATGCATCCAATCATAATGAAACTAAATTGTATCCAATACTAGTAAGATATTTTAATGTTACCAAGGGCATTCAAGTAAAAATTTTAAATTTAGAATCCATTGAGGGCGAAACTGCTGAAATTTTGTCAAACCATCTACACAGAATAATAAATGAAAACAATTTGGAATCCAAAGTTGTTGCACTAACAGCTGATAATACAAACACAAATTTTGGTGGGCGAAGACGCAAAGGGGTGAATAATGTGTATGTAAAATTACAAGATTTCCTCCAAAAGAAAATACTAGGAATAGGTTGTAATGCACATATTTTGTCAAATGCAATCAACACAGCATCATGTGCCATGCCAATTGATGTAGAAGTAATAATAGCTACAATTTATTTGTATTTTAGTCGTTTTACAGTTCGTGTGGCTACTTTAAAACAATTTTGTGAAGAAGCGAATGTTCAATACAAAAAACTTTTAGGATATTCAAACGTTAGATGGCTTGCTCTAACACCTGCTATAGAGTGTGTTCTACAATTATTTGAGCCTCTCCGTTCATATTTTTTAAGTTTAGACAAATGTCCTAAAATCCTGGAATTGTTTTTCAGTAATGAAATATCTGAGATATTAATGTATTTTGTACATAATCACGCATCTATTTTTCACAAAACGATTCAGAAGATTGAAGATGAACACATTTCAGCTACAGAAGTTAGTCTTATTTTGAATGACTTTATCCTTCAATATAAAACTCGATTTGAAAAAAAATTTCTTCCTTTAGTTATAAAAAGAAAATTGTCAGACTTAGAGGAATCAAATCCGGGCATAACGGAAAAGTTTATGAAAGAAGTGCAGAATTTTTACCAAACATGTTTTCAATATATCGAAGAATGGTCTGAAACAAACATCACAGGAAATAACAGTTTTCAATGGTATTTTTTGACTTCATCGCAAGTATATTGGACAGATATTGAATGTTGTGTTGTTGAGTGTTGAGTTTTTATCTAAAGAAATGCCAGACATTAAAATAGATGACAATTGTCTCTTTGAAGAAATTAGAAGACTGAATATATTTTTTAATTCTGAAAAATTAATACAATGGGAAAATAAACATGTTGAAATGATAAAAGATGGGTGGAAATATTTAGCCATTTCAAAAATGAACATATTCCATGTGAAAATTTATTTATTCTTGTTCAATTTACATTGTGCTGCCCTGGAACTAATGCAGCAGTTGAAAGGGTTTTTTCAATTGCTAATGATTTTTGGAAAAGTGAGAAATCAAGACTGAATGTTGATATTCTAGCTGCAGCACTTGCCATAAAATTCAATATGAAGGATATTTCTTGTCCAGATATTTCCAATATATTGTTAGAAGATGATACAATGACAAAAATATTCATTCAATGGAAAAGTACTCATTTAAATAATAATTAATAGGCATATAAGCATAATTACAATATAAAATGTTATTGTTACAAATGTTTTTATTATGCATTTATCATATTATAGTGTATTCTGTATTATTGTTGCAATGAATAAAATGTTTCTTTTATTTACGATATTTTTTTCTTCAATTTATTTCTGTCCTTCTCATTGTAAAAAAGTCGGTCACCTTACAACTCTGATATATCTACTGATATATCTATCAGTAGATTCTTTAACTGAGAGTTGAATTGATTAATTGGTTAAACAATCAGTTTGTGTAATCCAGCTTTTACCAACCCTTATCATGAGGTATTAGTTTCTACAGCCTTACTTGTCTGCATTCTTTAATACAGAGTGGTAGAATATGGTAAGGAAGCGATGTAGATTTGCTCTACCTCTAAGGCTCTTTCTATGCTAGGAAAAGCACTCAGTTCTCATTCCATCCCAAGTCTATGACTGTGATCCCCAAGACTCTCATTCATCCTAACCCTGAAGAGGCATCACCTCATTTTGTTCATCAGAGAACTCTTGACATGTAACCCAATATACAGTCCAGTTAAGAGGAAGTGATTCTAATGCTACATTTTAAATACTAACCTGAAATTTCAAAATTCTGTTTTGTTAACCACAAAGTGCTTGTGTCTTCTAGACCAGAAGTTTCCTCTGCTGTTTCTAGTCCACACATCATATCCAGCATCTGCTAATATGAAGCTCAGGCTTTGGTGGAGTAAATTTGACACTACCTTCCATACCTAAACCATGCATTAATAGTAGAGCAGATTTTTGGCCTGAAAAAAAAATGATTCTTATACCATGCACAGAATTAGAACTTGCCAAAAACTATAGTAGATACAAGGAGGTTTGTGATACACCTCTTTCTGCATGATACACATAGGGGGGGGGGATGTGAATAAAGGAAGGATACACTACTCCACTGCCCTATCTTGTTCCCAGGAAGTACTCAGACCCCATATTTTTTGTTTCTGCTTTTGTTTTACCTCCTGGAATTCTGTTCACACTTAGGTAATAGCCATCTTCTGTAAGGATCTCATATTCTTCACAAGAATATTCCCAATGTCTGATTCTCTCACTCTGTAAAGATTGAAAGACAAATCTACAATATGGAATGGATTCTGATATAACAAGTATGGACCTGCACATATGTTGGGACAGTCCATGGAGAAGCACAAACAAGCTATCTGGGAAATGATTTCATCAGAGAAATTGTGTGCCATAAACTGGCTGAACTGATCAAGGATAGATTTTTAAAAATTTAAAAGTGCAACTATTATTGTGATGATATGGATATGTATATAGATTTTTCTTGGTAGCATTGGGTGACCTCATAGGCTATGGTAAACAGTCAAAATAGTGTGATCTGAATTGTGATTTTTTTTAATGAATGTTGTATGGCAGACTTTGATACACTTTTGTGATTGGCTATTTGATCATGACCTATATACAGTCCTGACAGCAATTGAGAAGAAATCTGCCACTGTCTTCTTCTGAGATATTTTTGACTTCTCAGTCTGCATATAACCTTAAGAGTCTACCCTCCAAACTTCGAGACCCGGAAATACTCAAGTAAGTGCTACCTCCTGAGACTATGAGATTATGCTTAGACAAGAATACTTCACATGAAGCAGAATATTTAAGATGATCTAGAATATGCTGTTACATCATTTGGGAGAGGGAACCTAGCATGTATACTGTATTATGAGAATCTTTCTATTATCTTACTATCCAGTAGGCAGATAAATGATGCTAACATTATGCCAGTGTTCAGATCAGATTTATTTAAGAAAACTTACAGACCTGCCTATAACCCATCTAGGATGTTACATTGTTTATAAATCAGTAGGATATAAACTTAAATCTTCAGTAGGAAAGAAACACACAATGATTCATAAATAAAATGGAAGGATAAGCAAATTTGAACATAAATCAATTGAATAATAAAGACAGTCAGCATAAACTCAGGAAACAAAAAACACTTAAGTGTCTAGCACTACCACAGGCATAATGAGGACAATGGAATTTTAATTCCAGGTGGCTTCATAGATATTTCTCCATTAGGCCAAGGATTTCCTTGTATGCATGTTGGTGAGCATCAATGCCCCAAATAAAATCCCAGTGAGTCCAATCAGGGAACTCCTTATTATAAACAAGATTAGTAGTTTGAGAGCGTAATTGTGCAATTTCCATCGGCTGGCAAATCCAATCTTGTCCTCCACTCCACATGGCAACTGGCACAGTGATGGCTTCTATCTTGTAGAATGGTGGAATTGTCTGAGGAAAGGAAAAATCATGAGAAAAGAAATGGCACTAGAAATTCTTTTAGAGCAAAATTCAATATAATGATTGGGAATTCCACCACAGGACTTTTTCCATGCAAAAAGTATCCAGAGGAAGCCAAAGAAATTCTGAATCGGAGTAGTGTCATAGATTGTTTCAGTGCATTCCTTGTTTTGCTATAGATTGTACCAAAATGCAAAAACTCAGACAAATGTAGCAGATGCTCCTCAAAATAGCAGGCATTTTTTACTTACTGGAATTTTGCAAAACAATGGAAAGTTTTCAAATCAAAAATACTTTCAATTACTTATACTTTATTTTTAGCTACCCAGGATAAAGGTATTTTACAGAGTAATCTGGCGGCTTGGCAGAAAGTAATCATTATATTAGATTTAGGAGTCAAATGTTCATTATTTGTCTTCTTTCCCATGGAAAAATCCAGAAAATCCTACATTAAAGAACTGTCAAAATCCAGCACAACCTACCTGGTTATACATGTCTATATTCTTCGAACCATAGTCAAAATATCTGAAAAGTCCACTTTTCATTAACTGGAATAAGAAAGAAAACACAACAGAGACATAAGTAACTATATTTTTCTCTGTGTTATAAAAGCAATAATAAAGTGTAAAGACCAAAATGATCCAGTCATATTTCATTACCATCTAAGGGGAGTTAACCTCAATGAGAAGACATCAAAATAACTCACTGTTCTATAACTTCCATGAAGTTACTTACTGTCATACAGCCAACAAAAAAACAGCCAGAACTGGATGTTACTGTATGTAAAGATCTTCAATCTAAATACAACACTGTCAGCCATTTTGTTTATGTTAAAATGGCTGGCATTTTTTCATAGATCTTCTATCTTACAAATCAATTCATAAATTCTACTTTCCTAACTACAAAATGACCAATGAATTCACTCCAAAGCTTTCTGGAATGGCTGACCCAAAACTTTATACACAGTCAAAGACCTTTCTGAAGTTTTATTTAAAAAAAAACATTTCCAAGTAGTTATCATAAGAAAACCATATTTGTACAGACTTTGACACATAAGCCACATGCATCCAAGGATATCTATGGGTTAGATGGGTGGGTCAAAAAGGTTAAATCCCTGCCTCTTTCCCCTTTTTTTACATGCATCACTGGCCAAGATATTGATCTTGCAGTCGCCCCCTCCTCATCTATCTTTGATGCTCAAGATAACTTAAAAATCAATGTGGCACCTTTGGATTAGACAAAATATGTTTATTATTTAGCATATGCCATATCGTATATGGACTAGCAATCACTTAGATTAATAAAACACAATAAAATATAAATGATAAAAAAATCTATGTTCAAGTATTTCTTTTCTTAACTAACAGCCTTTTGGAAGAAGGCCTGAGATTCTATTAAGAATTTGCTGAACTGATTTAACCAGCATTTGTCCTAATTATTTACTTACCTTGTTTTTCTTTCTTATTCTTATTGTGGTTCTCAACAGACAACTTTATTTTTACCTGACCATGGGAATGTTTTTTATTAAAAGATGAGAGTGTCTGTTGAATTAAATCATCAAAATGAGTCTTACCTGGCTCAAGTGGACTACATTTTTCACAGAAGTATAATCTGGGAAATGTGAAATATACACATCAGAACGGCTCTAGAAACAGTAAATAAAAGACTGTTTAGAAGAGTTTTAATCTGCAAAAGTCGTCTGTGAACTGTACCTGTGTAAAAGGTGAGAAACATCTAGGCTAATCTTGAGCTAATAACAGTAGTTTCCCACAACAGTCAAAGGGAGGGAGGGAGGGAGAAAGGGAGGGGAAGGAAGGAGAAGGAGAAGGAGAAGGAGGGAGAAATAGATATCCAGATGAAATATGATTGTGATAAATTATCATAAATAATCCAGAAAGTTTCTATTTACTGTATCTTTCAGTGTTTGAATACAATATGTTTTAAAGACAGAAGGAGCATCAAAACAATGTTACACAGTATGTCACATCAAAGAACAATAAGCAGCATTGGCATCATTTTTTAATTTTGTTTTTTTCTGTTTTAGAATCAGAGACATTGAAGCGAGGCAGGAGTAACAAACACAACTTCTTTATTGAGATCACAAACAGAACAGAATAACAAACAAAATGGCACTGGCTCTTTTATACTTCCCTTGCAGGGACAGCATCAGCCTATCAATACAAGGCTAGTCTCCCACCTTGCACATGCTCACAAGGCTGGAGACAGCCTGTCTGGTCCCGGGCAACCACTGGTCTGCCCGGGCCTCCTGCAGCCTCCTGAGCCTGCTGAGTCATTCAGCAGGCCCAGGACATGACACCCCTCCCCCCTCATGGATAAAACAATAAGTGAATACTTACTGTTTTATAGCAGCATACATGTGTTCAATTAAGCATGTTGTTATTTCTAAACACAGTTATGCCTGCAAGCAGGCAGACCCAGTCATTACATTTCTCATATTTATACGAATACCACATATTGTTTAATACTATCAAACAAAACACCCCAACTATGAGTGTGCCCTGAGTTCAAGAGAACTATTAAGCCTCCCTTATATACATTCTATTTTTTCACAAGACTATTAGGCCTGTCCTGGAATTGACAAGAACCTTACATAGTCTTATAAATGCTTGGGGGGACCCCTTGCTCGCTCTGATCTTCTTAAAGCTATTGTGGGCATCTGGTCTATGAGCTCACCTGCCAGGCTTGGCAGACCAGAACGTAGATGCCCCCTTGAATCCGGCCACCCTCCATCGTACCGACTGGCTGGCACCTGTCACCCCAGACCAGAGTTCTTTGGTGGGGTGGAATTCCTCAAGTCCACAATGGACCCCTCTTGGGAGCACTGTCCCATGAGCCCAAGACCAGCAGATGGAGAAGCCTGTAGTGCAGGTTGACTGGCCAAATCCATAGACCCAGTGCCCGAGTCAGGAGCCTCCTCGTAGGCAGAACCCCCTTCTGGAGCCAGTGTATCCCCACTTTCGCAGAGAGACTGTGGTCCACGATCATAATCGTGGTCTTCCTCCCCCCCAAGAGCAGAGCCAGGGGTGGAAGTGTTGCTGGGAAGCCTACAGCGTAGTTGATCGATGTGCTGCCTTAACACATGACCATCGTCCAAGGCCACTTTGTATGACAGTGGCCCAGAGACCTTGCATACCACTGCGGTCACCCCGAGATGTCCAGGTCCATAGTTCCTTGCCCAAACCGGATCACCCACCTGTAGTCACAGGCGGCTGTGACACCTGTGAAGTCACCCGGTCTGGGTGCAACCTGTCCAGTTTGGTAATGAGTCTGTGACCCAAGCAGAGTTCAGCTGGGCTCTTCCCAGTGGCAGTACAAGGTGTGGTGTGGTGGCAAGGAAGAAAGTCAGCTAACCTGTGATGCCAGCTGCCATGAGTGATTCTCTTTAAAGCATCTTTGGTAGTATGCACCATACACTCAGCCTGGCCGTTGGAAGCTGGATGGAATGGTGCAAATGTGGCATGCTGGATCAAGTTGGCTTGAAGAAAAGCCTGAAACTCAGAAGACATGAATTGGGGTCCGTTGTCGAAGACAAGGACGTCTGGAAGACCATGTGAGGTGAAGATTCCTCTCAGCACCTGGATGGTCCTAGCAGTAGTAGTGGAGGAGACAGGAACAACCTCTAGCCACTTGGAATAGCTGTCCACGAGGAGAAGGAAGAATTGCCCCTGAAAGGGCCCAGCGTAGTCGATGTGTACCCTCGACCATGGAGTATGTGTCTCCTCCCACCTATGTACAGGGGCCTAGGGCATTTCAGGCCTTGACTGTTGGCACACTTGGCACCCATGAACCTGGGTCTCGATCTCTTTATCGAGCCCAGGCCACCAGAGATGGCTATGCACAAGCGCCTTCATCCGAACTATTCCTGGATGTCCCTCATGCAGAGAGAGCAAGATTCTAGTCCTCAATGAGGCTGAGATGACTACCCTGCTACCCCATAGGATACACCCCTTGAAAATGGAAAGCTTGTGTTTTCTTTGTCAGAAACTCTGGAATTCTGCACCAAGACACGTGTCAGGCCATCCTGCATGTAAGCATGCGTGTAAGCGTGTGATCAGTGGCAGTTTCTGCAGCCACATCCCTAGCATTGAGGGGAGATTCAGGCAATTCCTGAATGGAGAGAATGTGCAGAGCAGGAGCACGATCTGCCTCTACCTGCTGTAGAGGTAATCTGCTGAGGCCATCTGCATGGCCCATTTCTTTACCTGGTTTGTGAAGCAGGGTGAAGTCATATGCTGACAGGAAAATTGACCATCTCAGCATTCGAGGAGATATTATGTGAGGGGTTTGTTTGTTTGTTGTAAACAAGCCCAGCAGAGGCTTATGGTCTGTGTAGACCGTGAAGTGGTGGCCATATAAGAAATCATGGAATTTCTTTATGCCAGGCACTATTGCCAAGGCTTCTCTGTCAATCTGTGCATACTTATGCTCTGCAGATGAGAGAGTTCTGGAATAGTAGCCCACAGGGACTTGTGCCCCTTGAGGTGGCTCAGCACAGCCCCAACCCCATAAGGGGATGCATCACAGGCTATGCATACAGACAATTGCTCATTGAAATGAGCTAACACAGCATTTGAGGCCAGCAAGGCCTTGGCTTCTGAAAAACTCTTTTCATGCACTTGTGTTCACTGCCAAGGAGCCAAAAACCAGTGTAACGGCTCAGCCACTGTGGCCTTGTGAGGTAGAAATGCATGGTAGAAGTTTAACAGTCCCAGAAAAGCGTGAAGTTCATTTTTGGAGTTGGGACTTAGGGCCTGCTGAATTGCTTTGAGCTTGGATTCAGCAGGATGGATGCCTTCAGCATCAATACAGAACCCCAGAAATTCAGTGGAGGTAACTCTAATCTTACATTTGTCTTGCTTCAGCTTTAGCCCTGTTGGCGGAAATGCAGCAAGACAGCCCTCAGCCTTTCAGCTAAGTTCCCAGCAATGAGGATGTCATCAAAGTAGGGACAGACCCCAGGAATACCACTGAGCGTTCGCTCCATCACACTTTGGAATATTCCAGGGGCCACATTAACCCCAAACTGCAGCCTTTTTACCTTAAAGGCTCCCCAGTGCGTCACAATTGTTTGGGCCTCAGCTGTTGCCTCATCAACAGGTAGCTGTTGATAGGCCTGAGCCAAATCAAGCTTTGCAAAGATTTGCCCCCCCTTGAGTGAGGCCAGAAAGTGGCTCACCACAGGCACCGGGTAGGCATGCTGCTGCAATGCCTTATTAAGTGTACATTTATAGTCCACACAAATTTGGACTTCTCCTTTGGCCTTCAGTGGCGTGACTATAGGGGTTTCCCATGGACTAGAGTCCACAGGTTCTAACATGCCCTGCTGGAGCAGCTTGTCCAGCTCTGCACCTATTTTGTTCTTTAGGGCAAAAGGCACCCTTCGGGGCTTCATCCTGATGGGTGTGATGGCTGGGTCTAAACGTAAAGCAATGGGAGGCCCCTTGTACGAGCCAAGCTCTGAACTGAACACATCAGCAAACTCCTTGCAAACTTCTGCAAGACCTGACATTTGCAGATTGTGAAGTCCAGTCACTTGAATTCTAAGGCCCTCGAACCAATTGAGTCCAATAAGACTCATATGATCACCCCCAACTACCACTACATCTAGCAGCCCTTCAAAACTCCTACGCTGCACCTTGAGCATGGCTTCCCCCTTCACGCTGACTCTGGAATTCTGGAAGTCAGTAAGGATTAAATTTGAAGGCCTGAGTTTAACTCATAGGCCACTTCTGCTGCAAATCTTTTTAAAAGTGTCTAAGGAAATGATTGATAGAGTGGACCCTGTGTCCAACTCCATTGACAAGGGAACCCCTTGCAACTTCACGTCAATGTGAAGCTTCTTTTTAAGTGGCCTGTGAACCCCAGTTTTGAAAACGGCCCTACGGGATGCGCAGAAGCCCACCCTGTTTTGGCTGGGGACCTTGGTACCTTTCAGAGGCAATTCTTCTGGAGACCATTCCTTCTGGTGACCCAAACAGACAGAGGCAATGTGGCCTTGCCTTCCACATGCCCGGCAGATAGCGGAGCGGAACCGGCAGTCAGAGCACTTATGGCGTCCTCCACACCCGAAACACCGAGGGAATGAGGTTGTCTGTTGTCTACCTTCCTGAGGCCTTCTTTCTGCTTGCTGCTAAAGCCTGTCTATCTCCAATTCTGAATCCTCTTCTGGAATCTCCCAAGTGAACTCGTGATGGATGGTGCTAGGCGTTGGGAGGTTCTTGGCAAGCCGCACGGCCTTCACAGCTCCTTCCACTGCTTCTTCAGTGGCAATCTCTCTCAAAGCATCTTGAAATGAGACATCTTACTTTGCAAAAAGTTTCTGTTGCAGCTCACAACTTCGTAGGCCACAAACCAAGCAATCCCGGAGCCTCTCTTCTAGGTCCTTAAATGCACAAGGCCTAGCTGCTTGTCTTATGGCAGCAACAAAGTCCACAGCAGACTCACCAGGCCTCTGATCCCTCTGCTCAAAGGCGTGCCTCCATGCAATTACTGAGAGCTTGGGTTCGAAGTGCTCTCGCAGCCTCCTCTTTAAGTCAGCATACAGAATTGATTCCAGTGGTGCTGGGGCTACAAGATTCTCTGCAATATCAAAAGTCTTTTGGCCACAGACACACAGCAATGTAGCAGCTTTAAGGCCATCTTCTTGGATCTTGTTTACTCGAATGTAATTCTCTACTCAAGCAAACAAAATGGCACTGGCTCTTTTATACTTCCCTTGCAGGGATAGCATCAGCCTATCAATGCAAGGCTAGTCTCCCACCTTGCACATGCTCACAAGGCTGGAGACAGCCTGTCTGGTCCCGGGCAACCACGTGGTCTGCCTGGGCCTTCTGCAGCCTCCTGAGCCTGCTGAGTCATTCAGCAGGCCCAGGACATAGCAGTTTTCATCCAGAGACTTAGGCCACAGAAACAGTTAAAAATATCTATATTGTTGAGAATCTGAATTAAAAGCTCCACACATTCACAAAACCATACTTTCCCAATGTAAACTGAGCTTCCAGGCTAGGATTAAATTAATAGAATCACAGAATTGTGAAACTGAAAGAGATCACAAGGGTATCCCATATTAAAGAAGACTCAAGACATGTTCCATGTGATGTTGCCCAAGAACTACAATTCCCATATATTTTTTTTCTTTCCAATCATATTTCACAAGTTTATTAAGCCTTGGCCAGTCCAACCTGCAACTTTTGTCAAACCTGCAACTTTTCTGCCAGTGTTTCTCATTTTCATCATATGGGAACTTCTTTTAGGAAATGTATTTTGTTCTGCAAACGCTTTATTATGGACTATTTCAATCTTTGACTATATGAGAACATTCTAGAAAATTCTTCATTTTCTTTAATATATTTTTAAAAACCTCATTTAAATACCTTATTTAAATTCTTCAGATTAAATCCACCAATTAGAGAAAGTCCTTGTTTGCAGAGTTCATCAACCAGTTGCTGTCTACATTGTTGGGCCAGACCTGTCCTCTGGCATGGACTCAGCAGACCAACTTCTTTCTTCCCAAATATGAACTGCAAAACCAAGGAATTCTTTTTTTTATGAATCTTTCCAATGGATTTCTTAAACAAACTGGCAAAGTAAGAAACTTAAGATTTTAAAATCCTTAATTTAAGAAAAAAAAGCTCCAGGCTATGTAAATATGTTTTTGAGATTCTTCCCATTTCAATTATTTTTCCAGTTTTCTGATTTATAAAAGAATTTGCTCTTTAGTTTCTTTTTTTAAATTGAATTTTCTATAAAATATAGAAAATATGAATTTTCTATATTTTAGAAATTATGGAAGAATAAACTCACTTCCTGGGTGAAGGGAAAAGAAAAGATTTTAAAAAGACATGTCCAACTTTTTTGCTTGCCTGGGCTTCATGGAGTAAAAAGGGCAACATATAAAATATATAATATAGTTAATATATATAAATAGCACTTAGACTTACATACCGTTTCACAGTAGGCTTTACAGTCCTCTCTAAGAGGTTTACAGAGTCAGCATATTGCCCCCAACAATCTGAGTCCTTGTTTTACTGATCTCAGAAGGCTGAGTCAACCTGGAGCTGGTAAGAATCGAACTGCTGGCAGTCAGCAGAATTAGCCTGCAATTCTGCATTCTCACCACTGCACTACCACGGCTCTTTTGCACTTAATAAGATTTAAAGTTTACAATTTTGTGAGGCTGCTTTACTAGCTGTCTAGGACGATATGCAGCACGAGGACCATAGGTTGGAAACGTCTCCTTTAAAGGACTAAGAAATAGTTACAATAAGAAAACTCAGTGCTGCAAATATATAAATAGAACCTAAAGATAGAAATTCCAGAGTAAATAAGAATAGAAATAGTAATAGGAAGGCAGAAGAACTAGACAGGGATTTAATTTTGCATAATAAAACAGTTTTGTGTGGTCTTTATAATAAATAAACCTAATATAAATAAAAGTTTCTCATGTTAAAAGCAAATTTCAAGAGAAGTATCATGTGCACGAGGTCAAAAACAGAATCTAGTGCCCAAGTAGATGAGACAATAAAACTGGACATTGGAGACAAACTTTAACCTCCTGATGCCTTCAAATGCTCCTGCATCTTAGAATAAAATCAGAGTATCTTTCTAAAAACTGCAGAGAAGAATTTGCATTGCAAAGTTTACAAATATTACTGCGAGTGCCAAAATGAGGCAGGTCTGAAAGTTGTTCTTTCTTCTTTCTTTCTTCTTATTAGTACAGGTAATTAAAGATTGGTATTGGGTCTGTATTATAAGACCTGATACGCCCACTCCAGATTAATGCAGTGCAGTGTTCATTACAGTTTTGCAAATCTCTTAAATTTTTCATCTCCTTTCAAAGTCTGGAATTCATATCCCAGGATAAGAATCTCCCGCTGGCAATTCTAGTGATTTCTGTTATTGTTCCTTAAAGTGAATTTTGACTTGGAGAAGTCCTTGCAGTTTTCCTGGCAAGATTTTGCAAGTGGATTGCCATTGCCTCCTTTCCAGGATTGAGAAAGAGGGACTGGCCCAAGGTTACCAGCTGTCTTTGAGCATGAGCCAAAATTACAACACGTATCTCTGTTTCCAGTTTGGTGCCTTAACCACTATATCAAACTGGCTCTCATTCTGAAGGCAAAAAGAGAAGCAATGGATGGAAACTAATCAAGGAGAGAACTAACCTAGAACTGAAGAGAAATTTCCTGACAGTTAGAACAATTAATCAGCAGAATGGCTTGGCTACTGAAGTGGTGGGTGTTCCAACACTAGAAGTTTTTAAGAAGAGTTTGGATAACAATTTGTCTGAAGTGGAACAGGGTTTCTTGCTTGAGCAGGTGGTTGGACTAGAAGACCTCCAAGGTCCCTTCCAATTCTATTATTGTGTTATTCTAGTCCCAGTTCCATACATTAAAATGCACATTTTGGGACAAGACTGTAAACAAATGGGTACTTGTTATTGTAGATCAAACCATGCCAATTATTATATAATCAGTAAAATAAATTCTTGCTTATTTATTTGTTTGAATCATATCCCATCTTTCTTGTCTATGGAGATTCTCAGTCATCTATGTCATAGTTATCCCAAATATGTTTTTTCACGAGGCAACTGGACTTTCTTGTTTTTCTTTGAAGACGTTTCACTTCTCATCCAAGAAGCTTCTTCAGCTCTGACTGGATGGTGGGGAATGGAATATAAATCCTTCCAGGAAGGAATATAAATCCTTCAGCTCTGACTGGATGGTGGGGAATGGAATATAAATCCTTCCATTTCCCACCATCCAGTCAGAGGTGGAGAAGTTTCTTGGATGAGAAGTGAAACATCTTCAAAGAAAAACAAGACAATCCAGTTGCCTCATGAAAAAGCATCTTTGGAATCCCACCTTTCCTGCTTCCATGTTTCCCAACAAGCTGAAATCAACCAATAAGTTTACATGGCTGAGGGTTGACGTAGTGCAGTGATTCACTTAACAATTGCAGTAAGAAAGGTTGTAAAATGGGATAAAACTCATTTAACAACTGTCTTTTGAGATTAATTTTGGTCATGTTGAGGACTACTTCTATTGTATTAAAATTTAAGACAGAGTTAAAATACATTTGTAAAATAACCTAACTAGCATCTAATAATTGAGATCCAGGATACAGCCTATATGAAATTATAATGTAAACACTAAAATTATATGAAATTTAAATTATATATAAAATTACAACAGTGGAAAGATATCTAAAACTATTAATGTCAGCAAAGTGGTAAGTACTCAATTTCTGCTCTTGAAAGTCTTTCCTAACCTCAAGTCCCTAGTGAAGACTTCCAAGGCTTTGCTCACAAAGAAAAGGGAGTCAAGCTATTCTCCAAGGCGCCTGAAGGCAGGATGAGAAGCAACGGATGAAAACTGATCAAGGAGAGAAGCAACTTAAAACTAAGGAGAAACTTCCTGATGGTTAGAACAATTAACCAATGGAACAACCTGCCTCCAGAAGCGGTGAATGCTCCAACACTGGAAGTTTTTAAGAAGAGACTGGACAGCTATTTGTCTGAACTGGTATAGGGTTTCCTGCCTGAGCAGGGGGTTGGACTCGATGACCTCCAAGGTCCCTTCTAACTTTATTATGGATCATCGCACAGTCAGCTAGATGTTCAGACTGGATTTGGCATTTTGTCTACCTATCGAGTCCTTACCCAGGACCTGGGATAGGCAGATGTGGATGTTTGATGGTATTACAGATATCGTCGCAGGATGGAAGCAGTTCCTAGTAAGGCCGCCTTTTGCAATTGACTAATAGCGAATTTGTCAATGCCAATGGTGTTCAAGTGGTGCTCCAGTTGTTTTGGGATTGCACCCAAGGAGCCTATGACTATTGGTACTACCCTTGCTTGCTTTTGCCACAGTCTTTCTATTTCTATTTGTAGGTCTTTGTATTTTGTTATCTTCTCCAGTTCTTTCTCGTCTATTCTGCTGTCTCCAGGCACTGCCACGTCCACTATCCAGACTTTTTTGCCTTTCTTATCGACAATTGTTAAGTCTGGGGTGTTATGTTGTTGTTGTTGTTGTTGTTGTTGTTGTTGTTGTTATTATTATTATTATTATTATTATTATTATTATTATTATAACAGGTTCAGCTTTAATGCACATACCTTGATTAACACTTCTGGAAAACGTCCTATTTGAAATATGGGACTTATGGCTTGCTGCAATGTGTATGCAGGACCCAAGGCAAAAAACAGTTTTATTTTCTCAGCCAGGTGTGGAAGGGCAGAAAGTGCAACATAAACTGGGAAAACACAAAACATTTTTATTTTAGCACCATTTTAAATGCAGAGAAAAGTAATTCTGTATTTACAGGCAAAAATGGAAAAAGGTCCATTGAACCCTGTATGTGGACTTCATAGGACTACCTCATTTAATATGTCAAAGACAACAGTTAGGTTTTTTTATAAAGTTATTTATGGTTGAAACCATCAACTGCCTAGGTTGATGTCAACAAAGTTTATAATCCCTTGGCTTAGGTTTATGAATTGACCATTGCTTATATGTTTATACCATATTTTTAATTGTTTTTAGAGAGAACACAGGGTAGTTTTAACTTCACAATAATACTCTGACCTGTGCTAAAAGACAATGCTCAAGATTATTCACTGAACTTGATATTCTTCTAAATGGAGGAGAAAAATAAGGCATTGGTTATTGAAAAACATCTCCCTGCCTGGATTTCTTTCCTACATAATTGGGAAACCATAAATAGTGCAAGCTCAGCCATGAAAATATGTAGAAAGCCAAGGAATATTGGTAAACCTGGGAAAAGATACCAGGAGATGAGCATAGACTTTGGAAAACAAGACCAATATAAGATAGGTTCATAAAATTAACTTTCTTGAAAATAACTATGTCCATAAATGCTTTTTTTGTTATTTCACACTATTGTTTTTGTAACCCCATCGTATCACCTCATAGAAACCTCTCATGTCTGACATCATATGTGCCAATAGAATATATGTTTAACTCATTCATATATAATATGAATCATTCATGTATTACTTCTTCTACCCTCAATTCAGGAATTCATCTCGGGATTCAATGAGGGTAGGGAAGGAGACTTCAACTTTTCATTCTGACTTTGATGTCATCAGAAGTGTGACATGACAAGGAAGGTGGTGGAGAGAGTGGTGAGAATGGCCAAAAAGATCATTGGCAGTTCCCTCCCTCCCATCCAGGACATAGCACAGAAGTGCTGCTTGATTAAGGTCCGTAAGATTATCTGGGACACTACACATCCTCTTCATGACCTGTTTCCCTTGTTACCTTCTGGGAGGAATCTTTATTGTATCCGCAGCAGAACATCCAGGTTCAGCCATAGTTTCATTTCATACAGCATTAACCTTGTGAACTCTCAAGCCTCCTCCTTCCATTATATATTCAAGACAGTATTTAATATTTATTTGTTATGTATATCCGCGGCTCTGGAGCTGCATATGGCTCTTTGAGCCTTCTCCTGCAGCTCCCAGCCTCCTCTGCCATTTGCAGAGAGAGAGGGACAGAGACAGAGAGAGGCATTTGCACTTCCCTTCTCTCTCTCTCTCTCTCTCTCTCTCTCACTCTCTCTCTCTCTCTCTCTCTCTCTCTCTCTCTCTCTGTGTGTGTGTGTGTGTAAAAAAGAGAGAGGCTTCACGCTGCTCTCCGACAGGCTGACAAGCTTATTGGGTGTGGCTCCTGCCTTGGCTGCGTCTCTGCAGGAAGCAGGAAGGGCAGGAGAGAGCCAGTCCAATAAGAATGTGTGTCAACTTGTTGGAGAACAGCATGAAGCCAGCTTGCCAGGTGAGCAGAAGATCGGAGTGAGGAAGAGAGAGAGAGAGAGAGAGAGAGAGAGAGAGAGAGAGAGAGAGAGAGAGAGAGAGAGAGAGCGAGAGAGAGAACTCATGCACAGCACCCTCTATTTCTTTTTAATTAAACTCTTCAATCAAGCCTCCCCTAGTGCGTGCACACGTGCATGAGTTTTACGGCTCCCAGTGTTTTCTTTTCTGTGGGAAATGGGTCCAAGTGGCTCTTTGAGTGTTTATGGTTGCTGACCCCTGGTCTATACATATGTTGTATATAACATGTTTTAGGTGTGTTTCATATATGTGTTTCACTTTGAGAGCGGGCAACTAAATTTCATTTTTGATGTGTGCCGTTGTGCTCACAGTAAAAAAATGACAATAAAGGTTATCTTATCTTATGATCTAAACAGGGATTCCAGCTGGCTTTAGTAAAAATAATTTTCTAAATGTTGAGAGATACTATGGGATTAACAACCATGAATTAAAAGTGGTACTGGCTGGGCAAAGACACAGTCATCATGAATTATCTGGAGAAAAAGTCAGGAAAGAGGAAAGAAGGCAAATATGAATCAAATAAAACCTGTCAACTAGGGGTTGGCTCTTTTCTCAGGGAAAAAAATGAACTTTTATGCTTTAGGCTGTAGAGCAGGGGTCTTCAAACTTGGCCCTTTTATGACTTGTGGACTTCAACTCCCAGAATTCTTCAGCCAGGCATGTTAGACAGCTCAGGATGGGAAAAATGCACATATATGGTATTGATAGTTAAACAATTTGATCATTGCTAGGATGAGGCAAGCAGACAGAAGTAATTTGAACACTGGATCAATATCTCTGACACCAAATTAGCGGATAGTATATATCTGGCAACAAGTTTTTTCTCTGAAATTGGTTACTGATTTTACAGGTATCACCAAAAGCAGGAAAATCTTCCTGTAAAAAGGAATAGCAAATCATCAACCTACCTATTGTGGATCCCAAAGAATGACCAGCATAAAAAATTTTATGCTGTCCAGTTTTCTGTAGAATAAACTCTGTCATGGCAGTAAGATCATAAATGCCCATTTCATGGAAACTGCAAATGTAAAGATGCCGTGTAAAATATAAATATAACTCTCAACCCAGAATTCTCCCCTGAGGCACAGACTCAAAGTATATCATTTTGGACACATATGCAAAGATCTGGAGAAGTCTTTAATTCTCGGAAAGGTGGAAAGAAAGAGAAGAAAAGCAATTACAGCAGCAATTGGTGCATATTGGGAGACTTGAACACAGATCATCTTGGAGAAAAACTATCTATCAATGCATCCAATCATGTTCTACGATTGTCCCCCTTGCAAATCATTAACAAGTATATTTAACCAACAGAATATGCAAACAACAAATCAATCTGGATAAAGAGGAGATAGAAATGCTTTTTAGGTCAGCTAATTGCTAACTGCAACAAAACAAGTTTAAATAAAATTATAAATTAGCAATCGCAATAGTACGTAACAGAATGTAAGAAGATTTACACGCTTCATTGACTCTTGTTTCTCCTATCTGATTAAACCATGATTAACCCATTGAAAAGGATGAATAAAGCAGTGAAGAACTTTTGGGCTGAATGAACATAATCTAGTTTTCTATACCATACCGTTCAACCCAAAAGCTTGTCACTGCTTCATTGATGTCAGCCATGGAAACAAACAAGAGTATACTAAGATTTCAAATACTTGTTTCTTGATGGCTAAAGGAGCAGTTAAGGTCCCTACATAAAATTATCCCTTAGATTCAGCCAATCTATCCAGTTACAAAGATGTATTTCCTGGAATTATTGAGTAAGAAGATGGCAATCATCCAGAATATCTGGTTCCATATTCAATAAGCTTTTGGCTGGGACATGGTAGTGATACAGCTACCTAACACTAGAAAATGAAAGTGTTCTAGACCTTTCAAGAGATTTCAACACAACTGATCACAGAACTTTTGAACGGGATTAGACATAGAGTATGACATTTGGTATTGTGTCCTGTTAGCCCAAATCAAGAAAGTAAGATGGGACATTTGCTCCACATTCCATTAAACACCAATATGATTTTTTTGTGGGGGATTACTCAATAACTTGCTGTAAATTCCAGAGGGCAATTAGAAACTGATCTGCCTTTTGGAAAACTAATGGAAAGCAGGCACTAGGTCAGAAAAGGACAATTTCTTGTAGAAACGCTCCTTTTCTGTCTCAATAGATTTATTGCAGGAGACAACTAGGCTGAGCCCAAGGGAAGGCTCAAACCCGTCATCAGTTTTGAGTCCCTTTGCGCCCAGAAGAGATCTAAGTCCAGCCCACCCTGAATTTCATTGATTCTTATCTACCGCCTATTTGCTTTGACAGGGTAATTCAGATTCTCTTAGAGAGCTTTAGCATGCAATAAGCCTATAATTATTTGAACTGCCTGAATGCCTGATTTTTTGCGCTTGACATCCTTTAACTGACCGTTGAATTGATTAATTGGTTGAATAACCAATTGACTGATAACCTGCTTGAGTAAGAGCTACATTTTAAATACTAACCTAAAATTCCAAAATTCTGTTTCATTAATTGAAAGATGCTTGTGACTTCTAGACCAGGAGTTTCCTCTGACATTTCCAATCCATACATCATACCCACCATCTGCTAGTATGAAGCCCAGGCTCTGGTGGGGTAAATTTGATATCCACACACTACCTTCCATAAGTAGTCCATGCATTAATAATATAGCAGACTTATTGCCTGAAAAAGAAAGAACTTCTTAAGTCAGATTCTTAATAATAAGGTTCATAGAATCAGAATTGCATAAAACCATGTTGGATGGAAAGTGACATTTTGATACTGTTTTTCTTCAAGGCACACATGAAGGGTTTTCTTTTTTATGTGAATAAACACCACTGTCCTGATTATTTCCCAAGAAGTACTCACAACCTATATTTCTGTTTCTGCTTTTTTTTTTACCTCCCAGAATTCTGTTCACACTTAGGTAATAGCCATCTTCTGTAAGGACCTCATATTCTTCACAACAATATCCCCAATATCTGATTCTCTCGCTCTGTAAAAATTGAAAGACAAATCAATAATGTAGAATAGATTGTGATGTAATGAGTGTGGCCCTGCACATACGGTATGTGGGGCAACCCGGAAATTATCTGAGAAATGATTACATGAGAAAAATACTTAAATCATTACTGAATTGATGAGGAATAAATCTAAATCATGGCTGAATTGATGAGGGGGAAAACTAAAAAATGTAAAAAAGTGCCGATGTTATTGAGTCAAGATCAACTGCTGGTGAATCTATGGATATATAGAATTTTCTTGTCAACACTTGAGGTAAAATAGTCTGGGGTAAAAAGTCAAGATAATAATAATAATAATAATAATAATAATAATAATAATAACAACAACAACAACAACAACAACAACAACAACAATCTCCTTGATTAGTTTCCATCCGTTGCTTCTTGTCCTGCGTTCAGACGCTTTGGAAAATAGCTTGACTCTCTCTTCTTTGTGGCAGCCCCTTAGATATTGGAACACTGCTATTATGTCCCCCCCCCAATCCTTCTCTTCATTAAACTAGACCGGGGTAGGCAACCTTGGCTCTTTTATGTCTCGTGGACTTCAACTCCCAGAATTCCTGAGCCAGCATGGCTCAGCTTGGAAACCTCTCTCTTTCCCCTCAGCATGGCTGGCTCAGGAATTCTGGGAGTTGAAGTCCATGAGTCATAAAAGAGCTGAGGTTGCCTACCCCTGAGCTAGACATACCCAATTCCAGCAACTGTTCCTTATATGTTTTAGCCTCCAGTCCCCTAATCATCTTTGTTGTTCTTCTCTGCACTCTTTCTAGAGTCTCAACATCTTTTTTACATCATGGTGACCAAAACTGGATGCAGTATTCCAAGTGTGGTCTTACCAAGGCATTGTAATTTCCTGGATCCATTTTTTTTCCTTTTTTCAACATCAGCTCTTTTCTGGTAATTCCCCAGTGCTTCAGGATCTTTGAAAAATATAGTTCAGTGGTTCTGAGATCACATCTGCCAGATCCTTGAGAATCTTGGGGTATAATCCATCTGGTCCTGGTGATTTGAACTCGTCTAGGCTGGACATGAGCTCACTTACCATTTTCTTGCCTATCTTAACTTGGGTTTCTATTCTGTTTTTTATGGCACTATTTTTGATAGGTTGGTCTGTTTTTTCCCTTTGTGTAAAGACAGATGCAAAAAAGAGTTAAATAGTTCTGCTTTCTCCCTGTTGCTTGTCATCTTCTTGCCACTTTCACCCCCTAATGGACCAATCATTTCCTTCACTTTTTTCTTATTTTTTACATGTTAAAAGAAGCTTTTTTTGTTATTTTTGACTTTGGTTGCAAGCCTTAGTTCATTTTGAGCCTTAGCTTTCCTCACTTCATCTTTGGAGGCTCGGGTTCTTTGCTGATATTCTGACTTAATTATGTGCCACTTTCTATACTTGTCCTTTTTTATTTTTCAATTATCTTTCATGATGGCCACAACTGTGATCAAACTAGTTTTTTTATGTATCTTGCATAGCAGATGTTGAACACTTTTGTGACTGCCTTCTTGACTTTTTTGGCCATAACCTACATGTAATCCTGGCAGCAATTAAGAAGAAATTTATTATTGCCTTCTTCTGAGATGCTTTATGACTTCTTAGTCTGCCTAGTAATTTGTCCTCCAAACCTGGATTAACTTCAAGGCAGAAGCACTCAAGTATTGCTAACTCCTCAGACAATAAGACTATGCTTAACCAAGAATATTTAACATGAAGCAGAAGATTTAAGGTGATCTAGAGCAGTGGTGGCAAACCTTTTAGAGACCGAGTGCCCAAACTGCAACCCAAAACCCACTTATGTATTGCCGGGTGAATGTGGCCTGCTGGGTGGGCATGGCTACGGTGGTCATGGCAGACCGGGTGGGCGTGGCTAGGGTGGGCATGGCCAGCTTGATTTTGGGGAGGGATGCCTGTGGGGCCCAGGCAGGGTTGGGGGAGATCCAGGGGGTCTCTGGCGGGTGGGGCAGTGGGCAGGAAAGCATCTTGCTCAGCTGATGGCTTGGGGAGAGGGGGCAGTTACCCCGCTCCCAAACACTGCCATCTCACGAAAGCAGGAAGAAAACTCCAAGAACTGACAAGGAAAAAAAGTTAAAACAGAAGAGTGTCTCGTGATGGTTTTCTTTCCTTGGGAAGATGGGGGGACATGGGGGAGGCTCCTGAGCCCCACAGCTCTTCCAAGGGGGGGAGGAGGAGAGTGGGGAGGGTCTGTGCTGAGATTGGGGCTCCTCGTACCTTCCACTGCCTGCCTGCACTCTTCTTCCACAAATGCCGCGGTTCTGCTTGCCTGGCAAGGGACACACGTGGGGCTGCTGCCTCGCTTGCCGTGCCATGGCTAGGCTGGACTGGGCTGGGCACGGACCCTCCACACCGATTCTCCCCCCATGGACATCAGGAGCACCCACCCCACCTACCCCTCATCTCGGGGGAGCTGCCACTGTCCAGCATTCTCCAGCCTGTCGCTAGCCAGCCGGGCATGCTGAGATGCCTCCCTTCAGGCTCCCTTGGCCTCTCCCCCCCTCCAGGCTGGGGCTGGTCATATTACTCCTTGTGGGCAGCACTGTGCCTGTACCCAGCCAGCCCTCCTCCTCCATCCTCCTCCTCCTTCTGCGGGCAGATCGCGCCTTACCGAGTCAGGCAGCACCTCTCCCCGCACGTGTCCTCAGGTGGAGGAGTTGAGCAGCTGTGGCTCTCGCTTCCCTCCAGCCTCCATCTGCCCAAGGCTCGAGCTCAGTGCACCAGCTGGCCGGCGATAGGCTGGAGAGCGCAGGGTGGTAGCAGCTGCCCTGGGATGAGGGGTAGGCAGGGTGGGCATTCCCGATGTCCACAGGGGAAGAAGCAGCATGGAGGCTCCAGGCCCAGTCCAGCCTAGCTCCAGCACAGCACAGAAAGTGAGGCAGCAGCCCCAAGTGTGTCGGACCCAACCTTCGCAGACTGCCCTTCTCTCGCCACCCTACCTGGTTCCTTACCTCCGCCCGTCTTGTTACATAGACTCATAGCAGCGACATTGGGCAAGAGGAAGCAAACAGGGCTTGCTGAGAATTGAGCCATGTTTGCCACTGCCACTGCCAACCTCGGAGCCAGTGATCAGCAGGGCCCTGTCACGGGAGGACTTGGGACTGCCAGGGTCCAGCCTTACAAAGCCCACCTTCTTCTCGCCTGAACTGCCCAGATACACACCCCCGTTGTGCGACTTCTGCACCATCCTGCAGTGGCAGCGGAGACATGGAGACTGATCGTGGGCTCAGAGCGGGTGTGAACGGAGCAGCCGCGCAGGGCAGAGGCACTGCCAGGGGCTGGAGCAGAGCCGGGCAGGACTGCGGCAGTGCAGAGACTGATTGCAGGTGTGAGCAAGGCAGCTGTGCGGGGCAGAGTTGCTGCCTGGGGCTGGAGTGGAGCCGGGTGGGACTATGGCAGTGGTGGTGATGTGGAGGCCGATTATGGGCATGAGCAATGCAGCTGCGCAGGGCAGAGGCACTGCCCAGGGCCGGAGTGGAGCTGGGTGGGACTGCGGCGGCAGCAGCAGCATGGAGGCTGATCACGGGTGTGAGCAAGGTAGCCGCGTAGGGCAGAGGCGCTGCCCAGGGCCGGAGCAGAGTCGGGCAGGACTGCAGGGTGGAGGTGGTACAGAGGCCAATCGTGGGCTTGAGCAAGGCAGCCTTGCAGGACATAGGCACTGCCTGGGGCTGGAGCAGAACTGGGCGGGACTGTGGGGTGGCGCTGGGGTGGAGGTCGATCACAGGCCGAGAGGGACAACTGCACAGGGCAGAGGCGCTGCCCGGGGCCAGAGCGGGCAGCAGCATGGCAGCGGCAGAGCCAGGTGGGGATGCAGCGGCAGCAGCAACAGCTGGGTTGCTTTGGCCAAAGCAGCAGCGGTGGCAGTGCGGAGGAGACGAGGAGCGGTGCCCACAATCTGCCCTGCTTCCCCTCCGCCTGCTTTCTGCAGTTCCTCCTGGACCCCTGCTCCCGCCTTTAACCCTCCTGCCACCATGCAGGGTAAGGTTGCCGCCCCCGCCCAGATGCCCTCACCTCCCCGAAGAGGTTTTTTTTTACTAACCTGCCTTTCAGCTGCTTTCTGTTTCTCCATTTGCTTTTCAGCCTTCACCACGTGTTTGTGGGACTATCGGTAAAAAAAAAAGTTCCATCAGACTTTCTAACTTCTTGCGAGATCTCGTGAGATGGAACTTTTGTCTGATGGAACTTTTATTTTGTCCCAGAAACACGTGGCGAAGGCTGAAAAGCGAATGGAGCCCAACCAAGCAAGCATCTTGAGATGATCCAATCTTTTAATGCAAAACAATATTGACTGCATCATTTTGGCACATATGAAAACAAAAAACAGCTATGATTAAATACCCCCTCCCCCAACCTTATAGTAAAAGTATAGAATATTTCCTTTTCCCATTCATGCAGTTCACATTGTCCAATTGGTTGTTACAATATTGTTATGAGAACATGTCTTGGGATTAGGCAGACACTTAGTGAAGTGTCCTTGGTTCCCACGGGCTGACCTTGATATCTGGAGCCTGCATTCCAGTTTCCCCTTCCCTCCCTCCAAGAATGTTGGCAAGCAGAGAAGTAATAATGGTCGCAACAGCATAAACATGCTTTGAACTTGACAAGGACAATATTTAAGACAGGGGAGTAGGAGCAGGATGGGTAGGATGGGTACTGATTAATATTCTAAGAGCTCAACTTACTATATTCATAAATGATTCAGGATTCATAAATCTTTTGCCATTCACGTCTTCTGAATTCAAAATTCCTTGTGTGGTTATCATAGCCATCAGCATCCACATGGTGAAACATCTATAGAACAATGGAGTAATTACCAATGGAGGAAGATATGTATCTATTAAGCAGATTTATGGATACTCACACAATCAGAAAATATAATGAGAGGGCCAGTTGGTCTAGTGGGTAAGGCACCAAGCTAGAAAGCAAAAACTGTGAATTCAAGTCCCACCTTAGCCATGAAAGCAAATTGGGTGATTTTGAGCCACTTACATTCTCTCTCAGCCCAACTCACCTCACAGGGTTGTTATTGCTGGGCAAATAGAAGGAGGAAGGTGTGTTGGATGTGTTGCCTTGAGTTATTTATAAAAAATGATAAAACAGGAAATGAATGAATGAATGAATGAATGAATGAATGAATGAAATGTAAAACAATCATCCATTGTAGTATAGGCATGACTTTAAATATAATTCAGTTAAGATATTGCAAGAGAGGGGAGAGAAAACAAAGAAACATAATTTAAATATACATCATTAAGTATACATATAAGCATAATAATGACTACAGCATTATTGGTAGACTGTAAATATAGAATGTTCTGCAATCATTTTATATATAGAAAATCATATTGATGTACAGTGTAAGATATAAAATGCATTTGGTAAACATAATCTGATAAAGGAAACTTTTCAGATAACACATCACTCCAGGGACAAAATTGCATGGAGCTAATTGGATACACTGAACCCTAAATAGCCCCCTTGTTCTCCACTGTGCACTTGATAGAGGGAAAGGAAATGAAGATGCTCTGTGCTGCCCAACTTGATGTCCAACTGCTTCTTGTTTGGAAGAACATGAAAACTACAGTCAATTTCATTGAGAAGAAAGAAGGTTTCTTTTTACCAATGCCAGGAGGAACCCAGCTTGAGTCTCCTTCATGTGGCATCTCTGGATGAATTTGAAAGACTCAAACATTGTGATATGACTCTATACCGTGAGCATACAAGGTGCACAGGAGCCTCAAACCAAATTCTTGTGTAGGACATAATAAGCCAATTGTTGTAAAATGTTTGTTGCCGATTATCCCAGCATCAGCCACTTTTACTTTTTCAATGATGGGATGGTGACATTTATGTGAGCTTTTAATTCCAAAAAAGTATAGATACTGTTATGTTTTGAGATCGGTGAGGCATTGACGAGGCAATTGGTGCAAACAGCAACCCATTTATTAAGTTAACACAGAAGCAGCACTAACTGCCTCTTAACCTCTATTTATACAGATCACCACTAGGTGGCGGCCAATAGAATTAAAGCAGTATTTTCCGCTTAAACACAAGCTAACAAGCATGTAGACAGACAGTCTGGAGTTTAAACAGGCACAACTGTTTGACCGTTTCAAACAGTTTTCAAGTAATTCACATCAATACATAACAGATACAATCACTAATAATCTTCCAGAAAGCTCCCTAATGATAAATCTTCCTAACTTCATCTTTTTCATTTTTTTCCAGTAGCAAATGAAGGTCAGATTCTATAATTAATGCAGGCATGTCAAACTGCCGTCCTGTGGGCCAGATATGTCACGCCAAAATCGCGCCCGCAAAACTGTGCCAGAAATGGGGGAAAAGTCGCAATACGTCACGTGACGTCATGTGACATTGCGAGTTTGACATGCCTGGATTAATGAAAAATAAACTTGAATTTAATCCACTTGTTAATGTTAACTTACTGCCTCCAGTGAAATAAAGATTACTGTAATTAATAACTGGGGATACCTGTCTTTAAACAATTATATATTTCTTTTTTCAATATGCAAATGGCGCCTCAGGAAAAAGCTTGGCACTATATCATTAGATCTCTCTTTCTTTATGTGATGGGTTAGATTTTCTGAAAGGATTTCCAAATTTTCAAATCAGCTGCTTTGCTCTGCTTATTTTGATGGATAATTATATATCCTAGTTCATTTAATCTGGAGGTTAAGACACCAGGCTAAAATCAGGACTATGAGTTCTAGTTCTGCCTTAGACATGAAAACCAGCTGGATGATTTTGAGCCAGACATTCTTTCTCTCAGCCCAGGGCTGTTGTTGTGGAGACAATAAAAGGAACAAGTATTATGTTTGCCACCTTGTGTTATTTATTTATAACAATAACAGTAATAAAGTAATAAAATTCATTTATAAACAGTAATAAAGGTGGCACTTTTAAAAATAAATAAAAACAAAATTTAAAATATATATTAACTGGAATTATAATCTTAGTTTTTTCAAAATAGCTTTAAAACTTAAATATGTAAACCAGAGATAGCTAGAGAAAGTAGAAAAAGGAAGGAAGGAAGGAAGGAAGGAAGGAAGGAAGGAAGGAAGGAAGGAAGGAAGGAAGGAAGGAATTTCCTACTCAAACTAAAACCTACTTTAAAAAATCATATAGGCACAATCATATAGCTTTAACCTCAGCATTAGTCAAATGCATTTGATCAAAAAATGTAGCAACTATTCAAAAGTTACAATATTACCAAAAGTGATCAAAAATATTTTATCATATCTGTCTTTGGCCTAAAGAGCACTTTGTCCTAAACTATCAAAGTGTAATTTTTTATTTTCCAAAGAGAATCATTTTCTTGAATGAAAATTGCAGGACATAATTCTATATTGTGCCATATTGTGCCATAGTTATAGAGAAACATCTGTTTCTTTGTACATTATTTCTTCAAATGTAAAATAAAACAAAGACAAATTATCCACGTGAGATTTAAAATAACATTTCTTAAAAATTCGTGGTAAATGTACATTTATATGTGTCTCATTTAATCTTTAAATTCATATTTAATGTTATTAAATTCAAAATGTTTTGATACAGAATAATTCTCTTGTATGAATATGGATTAAAGTTAAACTGGGAAAGACTGGGATGGGAGGGGAGGAGAAGGAATTCCATGAGATAAATATCAGTAATTAAATAAAATCCTTCCCCAAAATTCATCCAGCAGCCATAGATCCAAACATTAATCCATTAGACATGGATCATTTTAGATATGAAAATTCCATTTCATCAATAAGCATTTTGAAAAACATGTTTTGATTGGCATGATGAAAGATAGAACTTACATTAATGTTGCTTTCTTTTCTTTCATTCTTCTCATTTCAAACCCAGCACACAATATTCCTGATGAGATACAGATCAGTTACCAATGTCCTCTCCTAAATGGTATGTTTTCTTCTCACTAACAAGTTTGAGAACCTCCCTTTATAAACCGTAGACACTTTCCAGCTGTAGCAACCTGCTGAGTGTAGCAGCTATTTGATCATATTTACACCCTGTTGGCTGATGTCTTCCAACCCAATCCAATAGGAAGACGTCCCTATCAAACAGGTTCCTTTTATTATAGTAACGTATAAGGCAGCATATCTGCACTTTCTGCTTTGTCCCTCATCAGTATGAGCCACTCCATTTTCCTGAGAACAGAAATCAATGACGTCTCCTTCTTATTCAATACAATTCAATTCGGATACAAATAGTCTCTTGAATTCTTCTAACAATGCTTTAATTGTATTATAGTTAATTTAATAGGTGAATTTGTAATGGTTGAATTAATGTTCATTTTTTCTAAGTTGATTTGCTTTGAAAACAATTTCAGGATCATATAATTTATGTCACGTTCTACTCTTATTCAGAGAGCTTTAGAATTATAGACAGAGGACAAAAGAAGAGAAAAAGAGCAACAATAGGCCAAATATTAATTTTTGTGGCTGACCACTCAGATCTCCTTGACTAAATTTCAGTTATTTATTTGTATCCCATCTTTATTATTTTTACAAATAACTCAAGGCAGCAAACATGCCTAATGCTTCTTCCTCGTATTTTCCCTACAACAACCGGTGAAGTGGGCTGGGCTGGGACAGAGTGATTGGCCCAAGTTCAACCAGCTAGCTTTTATGGCTAAAGCAGGACTTGAATTCATGCTCTCCTACTTTCTAGCCTGGTGCCTTAACCACTAGACCAAACTGGCTCTCATTGGGTTTAGTAGGTAACCATGTTAGTTCTAAGAATTGCAGTCTCTCGAACACATGTGATCAAGGCAGGGAAGTCTGTTCTAGTGCATCAGCGTGTTTTGTTTTACCTTTTAAGTATTTGGGAATGTTACAGTATATTATTTGGAATCACATGAAAGGAACCCCAACCAGGCATCCCGCAGGCAACAGTGATGTCATCAGCTAATCCTTTCAGCCCAGAAGCACCTTAAAAGGTGCTTCCAACACAAACAGGACAAGATGTGTAAATAATAGCAATAGCACTTAGACTTTTATACTGGCTTTACAGCCCTCTCTAAGCGGTTTACAGACTCAGCATATGGCCCCCAACAAACTGGGTCTTCATTTTACCAACCTCGGAAGGATGGAAGGCTGAGTCAACCTTGAAGTGGTCAGGATCGAACTACTGAACTGCTGGCAGCTGGCAGTCAGAAGGAGTAACCTGCAACACTGCATTTTACCACGGCTGTAAGGTTGGCTATACTGCATTTTCTCCATTAGGGATACGATTTCTGTGTATTCATCCCACTCAGAGTTTGAAAGAAAAGTAGTTTAGGAGCCATTGTAAAGATGAAGTAAACTCTGAGTAATGTGTAAATCGAATAATTTATGCATCCAAGTTAGATGACTTGTCATGTACGGAAAACAAGTTAATAGAGATAAGAGTATGAATTCGCAGGATGGTCTTTCATTTTGTATGTAATCTGAAAGTTTATTAAAAATGGAAAAATCAATAGAAAACAAACAACAAATGAACTTCTTATCATTACTGACAAACATTTCTCAAGGATTCCTCTGTAGTAAGTCCAATATTTCACAATACAATTGATCAGGTGCATCTATACCATACATAAAATCCAGATGGTTCCACTGAGGAATAAATTTGTGGGAAATAAGGTTTTGAATTTGGGGGATTAATTGATTAACATCATCAGGGTCAGAAAGCCAATCATTTCCACCATTCCAAATTGCTGTTGGTACAGTCATAGCTGATATATTGTATTCAGGAGGCAAATCCTGTTTTTAAAAAATGAAAAAGGAAATGTGATATAGTCCTACTTCTCAGACTCAGACAAAGATATTATTAGCCAAATTGTGTCCAACTTTGCAAAAAGGTAAAAGAAAGAAAATGGAGTTGAATTCTCGAGTATTCATTAATGAGTTCTGTAGAATGCAATGTACTGACATTCCTTCCAAGGAGCATTTTCTTATTTTAATTCAGCATGCAATGCTTCCACCCATATTACTGAGTCTCCAAAGACTTTTCCTGGTTGACCTACCTTCATATTTCACCATTTTCCTTCTGTCGATTATGTTTTATGTTAAAGGTAGTCATGATATATAAAGGAGGTATACTCTGAAAAGCTCCAGATGGGTACAAAATGGCGAAAGATACCTTTTTCCAAATTCAAATTCAATGCATGGTTTTGTGTGTGTGTGTGTGTGTGTGTGTGTGTGTGTGTGTGTGTGTGTGTGTATGTGTGCAATAATACTTAAAGACATTTGGGAAAGTCTGTTATCTTAAGGCCTATTTGGTTTTCTGATGCATACATGCATAAGGCAGAATTTCAAGGCAGAATTTTGCATAATCCACTTTCAGTCTTAAACCTTATATCACGGGTGTCAAACTCACTGTGTCACATGAAGTGTCGCAATGTATCGCGACTTTTTTTGCATTGCCGGAGCTGAGGTGGGTGTGGCCTCTATATGATGCAACTGGCCCACGGGCTGGCAGTTTGACACCCCTGCCTTATATTATAACTATCCATACTTCTTAAGGCCATTCCCATTGTATCTATTGCATTTATTTACCTACTTATTCATTTGCTCATTCCTTCCTTCATTCATTCATTTTATAGTACTTATAACCTGCCCCAATGTCAATAGATAACATCAAACAAAATAATGCTACCTAAAAACAGTATGATAAAAATTAAAAGTCCAGAGAAAACCTGTGACAGAGACATGCTGTCAATCATCCAGGACTAAAAGCATGTTGGAATAAAACTGCTCTAACACAGTGGTTCTCAACCTTTTTAATGCCACGACCCCCAACAGGTCGTAAGTCGAGGACTACTCAACTGGTCATAAGTCGAGGACTACTCAACTGGTGCAGCACCGTTTGCAGAATGGGACTTTTGGCGGGCTCAGCAGGGCAGAGACAGCCTGGACAATTCCTATTGGCTTTTGAAAGCCAATAGAATTAGACTCTATTCAAGAGAGTCTATTCTATTGGCTTTCAAAAGCCAATAGAATAAAAGGGAGTAGCAAGCTGAGGAAAAGGGGAAAAATGGCGGACTGCTTGTTTGGCGACCCCTGTGAAATGGTCGTTCGACCCCAAATGGGGTCCTGACCCACAGGTTGAGAACCACTGCTCTAACATGTTTATGGAATTGCAGTAAGGGGAGGGGGCTTCACACAGGAGAATATTCAAAAGGAACAGTCAATACAAGAAGTCTAACCCACACCCCACAAACCTCACAGAGGGATGGAGTTTGCAGGTAGCTTGTTCTCGATGACTGAACCAAGCAAATTCAGTTCTGACAAAGGTTTGCCTGAGATAGCCTGGTACTATATAATTTAGGGCCTTCACCACCTCTCTGAAGCAGGCCCAGAAGAATACTTTCAGTGCTATGAATTCAATAGAGATGCCATTCTAAACTGGCAGGCTACCAGCTGTAGCCTCCAAGTTGTCTTCAAAGGCAGCTTCACATGGAACATGTTCAATCAAAGGCATGAGTTACTGGGGTTGGGCCAATGAAGAAAAGCCCTTGGGATTTGACCTGGGGTCTATTTCATTGTGCCAAAATTTGTGAACCAACCAGTACTTTTACTTTTCCTCTCCACTTATCTGTTTTTAGTTCACTTTATGTGCATTTTCACAGAGACTGAAAAAGGGAGCGAGGGAGGGAAGGAGGAATTGTTCTTGGTTGCATCAATGGCTGAATTCCTGGATGAGGCTGGTTGTGTGCGCAGTAGCCAAAAGCCAGGATAAGGCTATTCTCAAACAGCCCAATACTGTAGATCTACTGAGCTTCAAGCACTGGGGATGAAACTCCTTTGATGCAATTCTGGTTACATAATAATAACTTGACTCAGGTTCCAAACAGAAAGGAGAGCATAAAATCACACGGGAACTAGACGCTTGGAGAAGCTGACCTAATGTCCAATACATATCATTATTGTACCATATTGAAACAACTATCTGCTGGAAAATGCCTTACCTGTTCATAATGAAATTTATTTCCAAAGCTTCCATAGTTGTAAGCCTGAAGTTTACCACTATTGATGGCCTGCAAATATAAAGAAATCTCAAATGAATGTATTCATTTTTTTCAGTAGAAATGAAAAGCTAGAATGTCACAAGATGAACACAGATTCTATATTTAAAGGTAGTCTTCATTAAGGGATCACAATTGGGACCGCCAACCTAGTTGTTGAGTGAAGCAGTCGCTAAATGAATCCATGTTTATGATCTTACTCCAGCTTTCCTTTGCTTTACAAGGGCTGCAGGGATTGCTTATAAAGTTACTTTTTCATACTCATCGTAGCTGAGTGGTTGCTAAACAAGGCAAGTTGCAAAATGACCTGTAATCTCAATTGGCAGCAGGATCTTTGGGATGAAGGGGAGTTGAAATAGGCAAGATGGTAGGCAAGGCATTCCTTTTTGTATGTGCATCAACAGATAGTGTAATAAAAACATAAAATACAATATCAGTAGTAATAACAACTTCAAGTTATGCATAAGATGGGCAGAACTTGTATCATAACACTGCATCTGCCATCCCACCTCTTTTGATCACTCCCTGCAGTTGCTGATGATGATCATCTTCTCTTAATATGCTTATTGGCCTTTCAAGCAATTCCCTGTACTGTATATTGTCATTAGCAAAAAAAAAAAAAGACCAATATGTTAACAACATTAACTTAAGTTAAGGAACATGAGGAAACTGAAAGAAGAGGCCTTTCCTGATACAATCTTGATGCAAATTTTGACTAGGGACTGACTGATTTATTTATATATTTATACAATTTAGAAGCTGCCTACTTCAAATGATTCTGGGACATTTGCATGTTTGTTTGTTTGTTTTTAAAAAAAGGAAGAGCAATACAAAAAAAATAAAGGAATTGGTTACATGCATCCAATATCCAATTTTCTATATTAAACAAACTCAACCAACAGCTTGTCCCAAAGCCTGGGAGAATAACCAAGTTTTTAGTGACTTTTCTAATGTCATCAGGGAGCCACAAAGGACTCTTGGGGAAGCAGGGAGGCTATTCCAGAGGGAAGATACTGTGACAGAGATGGCAAATTCCCTAGGTTCTAAGTAGATAATACTGTTTAACTGAAGGGACCTAAAGCTACTGTGTCATACAAGACAAACACACTATTGGAGAGAGGTCAAATATTAGGCCCAATGCCATGAAGGGCTTTTAAGGTAGTAATCAGGATCTTGAATTGCCGCCAGAGACTAACTGGTAACCAATGCAGCTCACAGAGCAATGTTGTCAGCTTGGCATATTGCAATATGCTGTCTGTTCCACCATATTCTGAAGCAACTATAACTTCCAGGTGGTTTTCAAGGGCAGCCCCATTTGGAGTACATTGCAGTAATCCATTGGTGAGGTGACTAGGATCTGAGTAATTGCTAAGAGTCTTCCAATTCATCCACAGGCATGATTGGCAAACTAGATAAATCTGTGCAAAGGCCTTCTTTGAGCAAGAGATGGAGATCAAATGAGGACCCAGATTGTTGGGGGCAATGTAAATATATATATACATTGCTTACTGGTGTACACCGCTTAGAGAGTGCTTGCACTTAAAGCGGTATATAAGTCTCATAAATAAATAAATAAAATAAACCCTCAAATTGTGGACCAGTCATGAATGGGGAAATGTTCTCCCATTCAAAACTAAAGATGGGAAAACTCCAGAACTGGAGAAGCCAAATATTCACCACCATTCAGTATTGTCTCAAATCTGACTCTTTTTCTCCCTATCTAGATCAGTACAGATTTCAGACACTGGGACAGAACCGAGATAGCATAACGTGGACAGCTCAGGATTGAAATATCAGTTGGGTATTATCAAAAAGAATAATAACTTAGAACTCTCAAGAAAAGCCATTTACCCATCCTACAATTTCTTAAAGCACAACATATTATGCCTTCCCAGCATAGCAATTTACTTTAGGATATCTACCTGTTTCCAATGGATCATATTTTGCACAGATGTACTAGCTGGGACATATGATGTATACACATCAACTCGGCTCTGAAAAAAAAAAACATCATGTAGATTATTGTTTAATGAAGTTAATTTTAGCTCAGTTTCTTAGTTATGCTAAGGAATCACATGGTTTCTTTCTTTGGGTTTATGACATTGCATAAATGTAACCATTAATGATTGCAAACCATGGCTTATGGCAGAGAAGACCAAAAGTCTTAAAAATGTCTCTGCTCCAGAAAGGGAGGGACTGAGATTAGTCATCTATTGTGTATATTATATAAAGCCAAAATGTGTGTATTTCATAAGTTTATTCCATACGTTTATTCCATGATTGAGTAAACCAATCTAATACATAATTCTGAATCAATAGGCTGAAAGCCCACTCAAAGGTTTATAGAAATGAAATGAAAATATTTGAAAGCTTTCATAAAAAAATAAGTTTCTTTTTTGTTCATACTGTTGGGACAAAATGAGCACAATGATAGGGGCATCTGCAACCGTGCAAAAAAATGTCTGTCACATAGTTGCAACCAACATCGTGACACTCCTGAACACCACTACATATTAGTCTCATAATGGCAGAAAAGATACAATAATATTATCAAAAAGTTCAGGGGCAAATATCTCATTACTGACAGAAAATATAATGTAATCTGTAATGCTTAGGAAAATAAGTGAACAAACTAAGGAGAGACAATGGAAAATGAGTATCTCTATCAGACCTCATTTCCATCCCTCATAATGAAAAGGGCAGATAAAGGAAATTTCTCCCTTCGTCTCATTCATGGTCTTCAAATGAAAATCAAGATGCTCAGATACACAAACCAGTAAATAAAATAATGGAAGTCTTCTAGGCCATCTCATTTTTTACTGAAAGAACTCAAATCTAAACATCCTCATCAAATGTCTATCCCAGATTCTCCTAATGAAAAGGAGCTCATCACTTTACTACAGGGGTCTTCAAATTTAGCCCTTTTATGACTTTATGACAGCGTGCCTGACTGAGGAATTCTGGGAGTTAGTCCACAAGTCATAAAAGGGCCAAGTTTGAAGACCCCTGCTTTACTAGATACTTCTAGAGTGTGTAGATAATTTGTAATGTTATTTGATTTTTGGACGGATGGACAGATGGATTGATGGATGGATGATATACTGAAAAGTAAAGCGCACAGCTTTAGCTTAATTTTTATTGACAACACAAAACAATCCATTAATGTTCTTTGGAAAACAACATGGAAAATTGCTGCATTTGGTTTCGAGGCATACCAATAGGTTCAGAGAAAAAAAACCCTGCAAAATCAGTTACCAGGGAGCTGGAGGGAGTGAAAAATCCTCAATCTCTCTCCAGGTAAATTGGTGTTTTGGGGTTTCCCATCTATACTGTGGCAGCCATTCTGTGACTGCACCAACAAGTGTGGTCAATATATTCTAAACACGTCTCAATTAAAAATGTATTTACGCTTGATCTGTAGAAAGAAGTCTATTTAGTAGTGAGTTCTCTATGTCAATTAAATAAATTTTAAAAAGGGAATCTTTGAAATAAACAGAACTCCTTCCCCATATCAGGTATTTTTCAAACTTGGCAATTTTAAGATATATGGACTTCAACTCCCAGAATTCCCTGTCCAGCATGAATACTGGAAGTTGAAGTCTACACATCTTGAAATTCCCAAGTTTGAAAAATGCTGCCCTAATTGGTTGTCCTCCTGACATGCTAAAATTGTAACTTCCAATGTCTGCGGAGATTCTCAGTCATCCAGTTGTCTCAGAGGGGCTTTTTCAAAATGCAACTGGACTATTTTTTCTTTGAGGAAGGCGTATCACTTCTCATCCAAGAAGCTTCCTCAGTTCTGGCAGGATGGTGGGAGTGATGGAAGGATTAGTTCTGAAAGGATGGGGTTTTTTTTTCGAAGGATCATATTTCTTTGCAACACTTTGGTTGTTAGCACTCTCCCTGAGAACTCTTGAGGCCACTCTTGAGGCACAGATAAACCCCCAAGGGGTCTCAAGACCTCTTAAGGAGAGTGCTAATGACCAGATGACAGTAAAGAAATATCATCCTTCCAACTCTGCCCCCATCCTGTCAGAACTAATCCTTCCATCACCCCACCATCCTGCCAGAACTGAGGAAGCTTCTTGGATGAGAAGTGAAAAGTCTTCCTGAGGAACAGTCCAGTTGCCTTTTGAAAAACCACCTTTGTGAGTAACTTCCAATAGTTAATGCTGCTGGAAATATTGTCCAACTAGTGGCATTATCTGGGAAAAGTAGAGACAGAAAGTCTTTCAGCATTATACTAAAACAATGGTACTCACCAGATTCAAGTTCCCCTCATTAAAACCACACAATACAAATAATAGGTTGCTACAGATAGACGCCAGTGCCTCCTGACTGCAGACTTTGGTAGAAAACAAAGTACCAAAATACGTTTTGGGCAAAAACTCTTTTCTTCCAAATAAGATCTGTAAAATTTCAGAGAGTTGAGTATTAGTTATACAGGATTGTCCACCCCACTCCACCCAGCAGTTCCTCAGAAGATGATATAGCTGTAAGGAACAGAGTGCAACATACCGATAGTCCTCAACCTACAATAATTCATTTAGTGACTGTTTGAAATTACAATGGCATTGAAAAAAGTGACTTATGACTGTTTTTCAGACTTAATGACCATTACAGCATCCTGGTGATCATGTGGTCAAAATTTGGCTGTTTGGCAATGGGCTCATATTTATGACGGTTGCAGTATCTCGGAGACATGTGATCACCTTTTGCAATCTTCTGGCAAGCAATATCAATGGGGAAGCCAGATTCACTTAAAAACTGTGTTACTGATTTAATAACTGCAGTGATTCACTTAACAACTGTGGCAAGGAAGTTCGTAAAATGGACAAAAGTCACTTAAGAACTGTCTCGCATAGCAACAGAAATTTTGGGCTCAATTGTGGTTGTAAATCAAGGACAGCCTATATATAGGAAAATCCTCCTTTTTAGTAATACATTGGCTCTGAATGATGTCTGCATATATGTGTGGTGATGATAGAAAGATGGAAAAATGAATAGGAGGGACAGAAGGAGAAGGAAGGAAGGAAGGAAGGAAGGAAGGAAGGAAGGAAGGAAGGAAGGAAGGAAGGAAGGAAGGAAGGAAGGAAAGAAGGAAGGAAGGAAGGAAGAAAGGAAGGAAGGAAGGAAGGAAATTTCAAAACTAAAAGAAAAAATATTTATTTGTTTATTTATTTATTTATTAAATTTATGTGCCATATCACTATCATATGACTTTCAGCGACTTACAAATATCGTAAAAAATAGGCGTACAAATATTGAAACATTCAATAGTAAATTAACAGAAATTAAATAAATTAAAACCAGAATACTACAGGGTGAAGGTGGGTTCTTCTTCCTAATCCACTAATCACCTCAACATGAAATACTCCCATCAGGATCCCCAGCCATTTGGCAGATCCAGGTTTTGAGGCACTTAGGGAAGGCCAAGAGGATTTGAGCAGATCTCAGCTTGAGGAGCACAATATTTTCAGAGGGTGGGAGCCATAGCAGAAAAGGCCCTTCTCCTGGCCTCTGCCAGTCCTTGATTGACAGGGTCCACAGCATCTGTCAGAATGAGTGGAATGGGCTAATCCCATTGGAGTGAGATAGTTCCTCAAGTATCCAGGTAAAATGAAAATATCCTGTGTCCTAAGACTACATTAGGACCAAGTTTCTAAATCTTACAATTTTATATAATGAATCCTTACAGTCCAAAGTCACCTAATCCACATACGAAGTCACCCAATCCACATGCCTTAATTTCTGTATCAGAAAGTTTTGCAAATTTGGCTAAAGGTGTTTTAGCGTTTTTAACAGTAGCAACAGGTGCTAAAGCAATATACAGTTTGATTTTGGAAGCCAGTTGTTTATTGGATGAAAAAGCTATAAAAGCTGAGGAAGAGAAAAAGAAGAGAGAAACGGCTTTTTAACTTCAAAGTAACTTTCACCTGGTTAAATAAAATTCCATCATTGATATGCTTAACATCTAGCTCTTGTTAAAAGCATGGAGAAGAAACAGGATGAATTCTGACTTAATCCTCCACTGAGGTTGCTACTCACTCTGCCCCCTGTAAACCTTGGCTACTAAAAAGAAAAGGAGGCAGGTGTGCAGACAGCTACAAATTGTTGTTCAATGCTACGCGTGCTGTGAGGGCTTGGAAATGCAAACTTTGATAACAATTTGAAATTGTTGCTTGCTTGACTGGCAAGGTTTTTTTCCCCTCCTTTTCAATTATGTCCAATTCTTGGAGATTGCCAGAAGTGGTTTGCCATTGCTTCCTCCTAAGGCTGAAAGAAAGTGAGTGGCCCCAGTGGCCCAAGGTCACCCAGCTGGCTTCATGCCTGAGTTACTGTCACTAAAACCTACCAGATGCACTCCCAAGTAAATGCATTCCCAGTACTGTCCTATATATGCATAGTTATAAGAATGTTTATTTGAGTTCAGTGGGACTTACTTTCTGGTAAATACACATAAGATTACAGCCCCTTAACACAAGGCTGGGCAGCTTCTGAACTTACCAATGGTGGTTCCTTGGGAGTGACCAATATAATATATTTGTTTCTGCCCAGTTTTCTGCAGAACAAACTCTATAGAGGCTGGAAGGTCATATTTAGCCATTTGATTATAACTGGAAACAAAAATAAATGTCCTCATTAAGCTGCATGTATGGCAAGGATCTTTTTCGGATCTGAGAGTGTGCTAGTCTCATTTTCACAAAATGGCTTCCATGGAGATGTGGTGCTCAAGTCATGCATCCTAACCAGCCTAAAATTGCCCCAATCTCTAATTAAGTATAGGACAGGGGTTCAAGTTTTAGAACCAAAAACCCGTCTTTCCATCTTGTCCATGGCTAACCTTTAGGACTGGGTTTAGGCAAGGTGAGACACAAAGCTTGCGAAGCTGGAGAGGCTCAATTTGTGCTAGCAGAGATTGACAACTGAACACCATCAAGGTGCCTAACCAACCCTAGAATGCATGTAGGAACAAAGCACATCTTAATCAATTAAGGAGCATATGTAAACCATACAGAAGGGCTCAATGGGGACTTCTTGATCCTCGATGAGCTTAGTTGTTTGCTTGCAGAAATTTCATTACACAACTAGATAACATCATTGTTCAGCACTGTTCAAACCTAAGCCACATACAGTATATTCTCTTGAAGGAAAATAATTTATGGAAATATCTTCAATGGAATAATAATATAATTGTAACAGTTTTTAAAAATCTGAAATTTTAGGAGGTCCTTCTGATTGCTCAGTTTATGCCTAAATCCAGCTGTGCTAACTTTGCTGAAGCCTCTCTACCGGCCTATGTGTTGGAAATGGAGGTAATGGTGTTAGTATAGCAATAATCTCTTTTTTTTCTACTAAGAATCAATGAATTTGGAGAAAGAGAACTTCTTGTTGTTGCTGTTGAAAATTTCTAATGGCTGGTGTGTGTGGAAGTAGTGGATTTCTTCAGACAGCCAAGAATCTGGGTGCAAATGTCATATTTTCATTGTACAATATGTAAGTCAACCAAAAACCTATAATAGGGATGGCAAAAGAAAATGTATGCTTGTATATATGTAATAAAAATTAACCATCTCTCTCTCTCCCTGAGAATAAGGTAGTAAAACAAAAGTCTTTTTAGTACAGAAACAAAAAGTTTTGAGAAACTGTAAAGGATATTAATGTATTTTCTCTAAAAGAGCTACAAATGGAGAAACACATTTTGGAGAAAGTACAGGAAAGGAAGTAAAAAGCAGAAGAATCCTATTTTTGCTCCAAAATTCAGAATCTCCTTTTTGCTCTTTCTTTTCTGTTGGGAGTAGAATCAAGCAAACAAGCCAGCTCTTATCAATGTATAGATCAGATCAGTGTATTTTCAACCTTGGCCACTTAAAGATGAGTGCCCAAAGTTGAGAAACACTGGCTAGATCATGTACTGTTCTTGTTCAGAATAGGAAAGAAGGAAAAGATGAAGGTAATGAACTTACAACATGATAAGAAATGCTTTGAGGATGTTGAAAAAAAAATCCCAGGAGTATCTAGGATTGTGCTTCCAGGACAATCAGAGAGAAAGGCAGCAGCCCAATTGATAGGGGAGACATGATAGCAGCATTCCAGTATCTGAGGGGCTGCCACAAGGAAGAGGGGGTCAGGTTGTTCACCAGAGCACCAGAGGGAAGGACTAGAAACAATAGTTGGAAACTGATTAAAGAGAGAAGCAACCTGGAATTAAGGAGAAACTTCCTGACAGTGAGGACAATCAACCAGTGGAACAGCTTAGCCCCAGAAATTGTGGGCGCTCCATCACTGGAGATTTTCAAGTAGAGACTGGACAATCACCTGCCTGAGATGGTATAGGTTCTCCTGCTTGAGCAGGGGGCTGGACTAGAAGATCTTCAAGGTCCCTCCCAGCTCTATTCTGTTCTGTTCTGTTGTTCTGTCCTATCCCATCCCATCCCGTCTCATCCCATCCCATCCCATCCCATCCCATCCCATCCCATCCCATCCCATCCCATCCCATCCCATCCCATCCTATTCTATTCTATTCTATTCTATTCTATTCTATTCTATTCTATTCTATTCTATTCTATTCTATTCTATTCTATTCTATGATAATAGCCTCAAAGACCATAAAAATGACTCCAGCATAAGGAGTCTTCTGAGTTTCACATGGCTCTGCAGAGTTTAAATCAGGATACCCGAATTTCCAAAACTTCCCAAAGAAGGGAGAAAGAGATGTGTGATTCTTGGACCAGGTGTTCCCTCGGCTATTTCCTAGCCAGACATCATATCCAGCATCTGCTAGCATGGAAGCCAGACTATTATGAGGAAAATTTTGGTACCAATTGGCAGCATCCACCAGCAAGCCATGCTGTAGAAACACAACTCACTTTGGACCTGAAACAAAGCAATGAAAAAGGCATCCTGACATCTGGTGCTTCAGATAATCTTTGTAGGACGAATATTGGATGTTATTTCAAAATTATAATTAGTAGCAGAACTATTCCAGCCGACTTGTTGCTTCACTCTTCACACTCACAGAGAGGCTTTGAATCCAGAATTTTGTTCTTTGCTGAGAAGCACATTCACCTTACTATTGTAAAATGAGCCAACTTAGTAAGCGTACAAACTTGTGGTTTTGTTGTTTTCTCTGCCATGTGGAATTCTGAATAAGTTGAGAATATAGCCATCTTTTGTAATGACATAATGTTCCTCAAGAGGATATTTCCAGTACAGGATGAGCTGTTTCTACCAAAGATGAAGAAGACAAACACAAAATCAGTTTATCATACTGATAAACCTGATGTTATGAATAAACCCAATAGACTATTTCAATCTAAAGAAATGCTAAGAGATATTGATGTGAATGATATGACGAATAATATACTAATACAGTAACCAACACTATAGATAACTATATATAACTCACTCTCTCTCTCTCTTTCTCTCTCCTCTCTCTCTCTCTCTCTCTCTCTGTATATATATATATATATATATATATATATATATATATATATATATATATATATATATATATATATATATATATATAAGGTGAGCACCAGGGTGATAAAACTATAAAAGTTTAATTTAATTTAAAAACGCCAAGCTTTCGCCGTCACCTGCCGGCATCCTCAGGGCTTAAAACGCCAGGGAGTGAGAGAGTCTCTTATAAGCAAGCCAAAGTCTGCGCCCGGCTCCTCGATCTCGTCATCGGACCTAATTGGTTGGATTGTGCTCCGGTGACTCGTTTCTTCCTGCACCCCTTTTTCGCGTGTGTCCTCATTTGCCTTCTTTTCTTTGAGCTCTAAAGTAGGTGGAGCAACCTCCTTGTCTCTCTGATTGTCTCTGTTCTCTCCCTCGGGTTTATCTAGTGGTTTGCATTTCTCCTTCTCCTTCTCCCAATCCACATCTGCATGACTATTCTCTCTCTGAATGCTTTCCCTTTCATCCCTAGTACTTCGTAAGGGTAGTAAAGGAAGAGGAGGGGGATATGATGGAGGATTGCAAGGAGAGGGGGACCAGGGAAGACTCTTGGGAACATCGGAATTGATCGTATGGCCCAGAATATGGGGGAGGGGTATGCCCGACCCTAGGAGACTGATCAAAAGAGAGGGGGAGAGAGAAAAGAACAGAAAAGATGAGGTACATAAGATTGGAAGCATATTCACGGGTGGAGAGGGTATATTTGAGAAGGGAGTAAGAATGGAGGAGAATAGTCAGGAACAGCAGGTAGAGCTGCAGATTAGAGGGAGGGAGGAAACAGGAGAGAGTGGAGTTGATAGGTATGGAAAAGGGCAGGCAGGAATAATAGGTAGGAAAGTAGTTTGGGGGGGGGAAGTTTGGGAAGGAGAGTCTAATAGGAACGCAGGTCGGTAGATGGGAACAGTACGTAGGACAGCAGGCAAGGGAAGGAAGAATGCTGGAAGAAACAGCAAATAGAGCAGTGGATTGGAGAGGGGGGGAGGAAACAGGAGAGGGGGGACTGATAGGAAAGGAGAAGGGCAGATAAGAATAGAAGGCAGGACGGCAGATTGGGGGGGAGGAAAGCTTAAGAAGGAGGGTTTAACAGGAATGGATGTTGGCATTTGGGAACAGCATGTAGGATGGCAGGTCAGAGGAGGAGGAATGCTAGAAAAGAGAGAATGTACAGAAATGGATGAACAACAGGCAAGTCAGCAGATGATGGGGAGGACATTGGAGAGGGGAAGATGGACAGTGGGGGAGGAGGGTAAACAGGAACAGCAGGTAGAGCAGCAGATCAGGAAGGAAAAGATATTGAGGAAGAGAACATCAATAAGAATGGTTGGGGAAAGGCAGGAGCAACAGGTTAATCAACAGGTGGGAGGGTTGAAGGAAGGAGGGGGAAGGATGACAGGAATGGACAACAAAGGGTGTATGAATCGGCAGGCTGGGAGAGGAGGGAGGTTGGAGGAGGGAGTTGGAATAAGAACTGGCAATGGTATGCAAAAACGGGAGGCAGATCAGCAGCCCAGGAACGTGCTACTGATAACAGCACAGGGAGGGGGAGACAGCACAAGGATGACAAAGCAGGAAAATACAATGTTAGAGTGTAAAAAAGAGAGGGCGGAACAGGCAAGGTTGTCACAGGCAATCAGAAAGAGTGGCCCTGTCACGAGGGCAATGAGTAGGCAATTGGATCAGCAAGGGGATAAAAAGAACTTCCCACCCCCTAAGCCCCACTCTGAGGATGCTGGCAGAGGACCAGCGAAAGCTAAGTTGTTTTAATTTTTGTATATAACTGTTTTTATTGTTTTAAATGTGGTTTTAACAATAAATAACTGGAGTATACTCTTCCCGGAGATCGAAGATTGCATCATTGAACAAATATGCCCGGGATTCGTATTTTTATAACCATTAAGGATATATATATATATGTAGGTCTTTGGTTGTTCGGGTTTTCTCCCGCATAAAATTGGAAATGTCTTGGTGACGTTTCGACGAAGTCCCATTCATCATCTTCAGGCTGGTGTTTTCAGCTTCGTGCTTCGACTTCGTCGAAACGTCGCCAAGACACTTCCAATTTTATGCGGGAGAAAACCCGAACAACCAAAGACCTACATACAAACACCAGCAAAAACCTCAGAAAACATATATACCAAGAATATTGGTAAAAATGCGACTCCCAGGCATAATTATGAATAAAAGAATAAAATACGATCACCGGGAGGGTTAAAATAAGAATACTTTACTAAAGATATACTTATACTAAAAAGTTGCCAAGCTTTCGCTGGGGGAACTCCCCAGCATCGTCAGGGCTAAAAGGCCATTACAATAAAGGTGGTTTAAGTAGGTTCAAGTAACGTTTGCGCATGGCTCCTAGACCGTGTTACTGGCCCTGATTGGCCAGCTGATAACCAAGATGTGTCTATAACGTTATGTTCTTTTCTTCGGATGCCCTTCCCTATCCCTTCACTATTGGTCTTTGGAGGCGTTAGTAACCTTGCATCCCCTCCTCTTCCGATAATACCAATGCCTGCCGTATCGGGGGGAGGATTCAATCTGATGTTTTCTTGTGTCTTGTGATGGGGATAGGGTTCCACTAACTGTGGGTTAATATCCCTTCCCAATTGTATACCTCTCTCCTCCTTTGTCGTGTCAACAGCTCTTATCTGAGTATGGTATGCCTCAGCAATCATGTCTTTATTCCCCACCCCAGTCCTCCTTACATCCATTCCCTCCCATTGTTTGGCACTCAAACCGCTCTCATTACTCCTCCCCTTACTGATCGAGTGGGTTGTCATTCTATGCTTTCTCTCCCCTATCCATGTGGGACGCTCCTCCTCATTGCTATGGGCCTATGGGCAACCGCATAGGCCCATAGGCCCACTCCGAGATTTTAACAAGTCTTTTAGGTGTTCCAGCTCTACTGGTATCGCTTCCTCCCTCCTGGGGGGGTCTGAGCCTCACATGGGGTTGTTGGGCGGTGCGTAGATCATCAATATCGGGTGCCCCCTCCCTTTCTTTTTCTGTGCGCGGGGAGTTTGTAGCCTCTATTCCAGCGTCCACATGTTGGGATGGGAGACTCTCTTGCTGCACGGTCCAGCGCCAGTCACCTGGCAAGGGGGTGTTGATGGTATAGTTATTTACGTCCGTATGAAGGCGTTCCCGGCGGTGGGGGGATGCGGCTTCCTGTCCATAATGCCACAAGTGTTGGTATGATTGCTTGCGATGTAATGAATGGTAATTTGAGTCCCATTTCCGCAGCGCTTGTTGCGCTGGATGCAAGTCAATGCGACGATTAATTGAGCTGTCATTTGAGAACCAGGCCTCTTTCAGTAGCCGGCCTCCCTTCGTGGCATCACTAGCTATGATACAGGTATTAGCAAAGTCAAATCGGTGGCCCTCTTGCGCCATATGCATCCAAAGTTGTGAATGCTGCTCGCCCCGTTTTATAGCCAATTGGTGTTCATGGAGACGAGTCTTCAGGCGTTTGGCTGTTTCCCCCACATAGTTGCCTTGGCAAACATCCTCCCGGTGATTGTATTTTATTCTTTTATTCATATATATATATATATATATATATATATATATATATATATATATATATATATATTCAGATTTCTTCCTTCTTCCTTCAGCATTGTTCAAATGTTCAATGTTCTGAAAATTCCTTGGAGAAGTTTGTAGATTACTTACTGAATTCAGTCTGGCTTCAGGATTAACATTTCTGTTCAAAATTTTTCCTTCAACTAATACAGGCCAATAAAGTAAAATCAGAACCAGCCACATATTCAGTTTACCTGTAATTAGAAGATTTTTTTTAAATTTGATTTGTAAGCTACCCATCTTAAATGTACAATTGTGGGCAGCTATCAGTGATTAAAAACAAAATAAAAACAATAATAAATCAATAATTTACATATATGAGATAGAAAATCAACCAACCCCTCAATTAAGGTAACCACGGTATAGACTCAATCACACGCTTGGGGTCAAAGGTCAGTACCAACATCAGGCCTAACACCTTAAGGCAAGTCTAATCTCCAGAAGAATGATGTTATATAGGCTAGATCAGGGGTGTCAAACTGCTGGCCTGCGGGACAGATGCGTCATGCCGAAACCACGCCCACCCCATTGCCAGCAATGGAAATAAGTTGCGATATGTCGCAATACATGATGTGACATTGCAAGTTTGACACCCCTGGGCTAGATGCTACAACAGAAAAAGTTGTATACTTAGGAAGGAATTAGGAAGAAACAATCCCACTAGTAAGCCAAGCCTAAGCCATGAAGTGCTTTGTAGGTAATTACTAGCGCCTTGAATTGAATCAGAAGCAAGTTCACTAGATCTTCTTTTGCTTTATTTAAATTGGTATCAAAGACCAAATATTGAAATAATTTCATTAAAACTTCAATTAAAACTATACCATCTGGGATATAAATCAGTATTTAGAATAAAAATAGTAATTACCCTAAGAACCAAGAAAACATTTGCAATAGCCAAAAAAAATGGTGCATCTCTGTTTCAATTTGGTACCCTTGTGAATGTTCTTTTTTTAGAAAAAGAAAAAAGAAAAGAAAAATCATTAAAATTCTCATAAAGGTTTGCTTGGAATGCATAGTGACCACCATTTTCCAACACATACATTTTCTACATTATTATCAAAATATAAACAATATCCAGCAACATACCTTTGCCTAAAATCAACTCTACAATACGTAATTAATTTTTAGAAGTGAATTTCAGGAATTTAAGTTTGCATTCATAGGAACCCTGATTCTTAACTTTGCAATTTAATTTTAAAAGTACCCATTCAATTGCTATTTTAATAGATATTTATGTGTAATTTGACCCTCTGACCAATTCAATTGTTTGTGTAAAGCTAGAGAAAATCCATGAAAATCTATCTGCAGCTGTAGCCATTTTTCTCTATACAACATTAATCATAGAGAAATGCCATGTAATATAGAATCAAGATCAAATGAAGTGTTAATACCACTTTACAATGCCTTGGTAAGGCCACACTTGGAATACTGCATCCAATTTTGGTCGCCACGATATAAAAACGATGCTGAGAGTCTAGAAACAGTACAGAGAAGAGCAACAAAGCAACAAAGGGACTGTGGCTAAAACATATAAGGAACGGGTGCTGGAATTGGGCATATCTGGTCTAATGAAGAGAAGAACAAGGGGTGACATGATAGCAGTGTTCCAATATCTCAGGGGTTGCCACAAAGAAGAGGGAGGCAAAATATTCTCCAAAGCACCTGAAGGTAGGACAAGAAGCAATGGATGGAAACTAACCAAAGAGAGAAGCAACCTAGAACTAAGGAGAATTTTTCTGACAGTTAAAACAATTAATCAGTGGAACAACCTGCCTCCAGAAGCTGTGAATGCTCCAACTTTGGAAGTTTTTAAGAAGAGACTGGACAGCCATTTGTCTGAAATGGTATAGGGTGTCCTGCCTGAGCAGGGGGTTGGACTAGATCAGACATGTCAAACACAAGGCCCACGGGCCAGATGCAGCCTGCGAAGCCATTCTGGAAATAGTGAGGAAACGGCCCTGTTATATCTTCGGTTCTTTTTTTATAATATATTTTATTAATTTTTTAACAAGCATAAGTCACTCAATAATTGGTAAACTGTGTTGTCTGGGTTATATTTGTAAAGACACTCCTTAACAATTGATTTCTATAATCTGTATTCGATATATTAATTTTAGTTGATTTCCTCTTTCCCTAAAACATCTTTTCTTTGCAAACATTGAATTAATACAATTCTTATTGCTTTAGTAAATGACAATTAGGTATATACTTTTTCCAATATTTCTAAAAAAATAATCATCATATTAGTATATTTCTTTTTGTTTTCAGTCATTTGGGTTGCCTTATCATCAATCCTGTTACAATCCTTATTTTAGTTTATTTCTCCCACCAAGTTCTAAATATTCTTACTGGTAAGGGTTTTCTCAACGATTAGTTACGTTCACATTGACAGATTTAATTCTATTTTTCCCATATAAGCCATCTCAAATTTTTACATTTCTTAAGTAATAGATAAAAGAGTAAAAAGACTTCCTGTTCCTGTGAGCAGTGGAATCAGCTAAGAGATTCGGGATGTCGAGCTCTTCAGCTGAGTTTCTTCCTGTTTGGGGACCCTAAATGGGCTAGAAGCTGCCCCGGAGAGGTGGCAAGGAAGGAAGGTAGTCCTAGGGACCTAGAAGAGATGGCGGTCTCCCCGATCGGTCCAGGAGAAGCCTCCCAGAAACCAACAGGAGAAAGGCTAGCTAACTCCATTCTCTAGCCCCAGCTGCAAGCAACGGAAGTCAAAAGCTCTACTATAAGCTGATTGTGAACAGTGCGTTGAAGCTGGGTAAGAATTGGTTTTCTCTATCCTACTTATTTTCCTGAAAAGGAGAACTCCCAAGAAGCAAAAATACTTCTGAGAGTGAGAAAGGGAAGTGTTTCCTCCCCACCCTTTTGGCTATTGGAAACGGCGAATCTAACTCATTAAGGAGGAAAAAGACTAGAAAGAACTGAAAAATGATCCAATGCTGACACCTACTGGTGGATGAGGATTATAAAAACTCTGCCTGTGTCCTTCAAAGTCTTAATAAACACAGCTGTTTAGATAAAGTGTGAACTGCAGAAACAATGTATACTTTACAAGAGGAAATATATGATAAGCTGCAATCAATTCAAAGGACAATGATCTCAAACCACAAAGAAATACAAAACAACTTGGAAAGTATAAATCAACTTCTCTCCAATTTAATTTTACTCCAAAAAAACCCTCAGGAGAATACAGCAGAGATGACTGAATATAAATCCGAGGATAAAGACTTAAAGATGGACTTCCATAAAATAAAAGAGTATGATTTAATCCAAGTGGAAGAAAAGACAACTTTACAAAGTAAATTTGAAGATAAGAGAAAGGATTGGATGAAGAGACAAAAAGTGACAAAAGAAGTGGAGAGAAAAGGAAGGAAAAAGATTCCTAATAAAAAGAGGTGGGCAAATGCCCATGACAGAGACATTGATTTACTCTCTACAGCAACACCTATGATCATATGGGAAAATCTTTTGATTCAGCAAAGTACATTGATTAAGAAAGATTCTGGGCAAAGAAAAAAGATTAAGATGGAAACTAAGAAAATAGATGATGGGACATATCAGAGAGAATACTTTAAAAAGAAACATGTGTTTGAATATGGTTAAAGAAATAGAAAAATTTTGGAATATACCACTCTAAGAGGGATGAAATGTTTTAGATATTTAAATGTGATTGAATTTAAGGAAAGTATATAAAAAATGCTTTGAATCAGAGTTAAGGGATTAGATGACCAAACCTATTAAATGGAATGTCTAAAGTTTAAATATATTCTTAACTATGATTAAAAAGAATAACAAATTTGAGAATAAATACATATTAATCTAGGAGGGATATATATTCTAAGTAGTATGTTATTTCCTATGTTCCGTTGCTCCTGTTTTCTTCTCTTCTTATTTATTTTTTATTTCTTTTTTTCCCCTTTCTTTTTACTCTTTTATCTATTACTTAAGAAATATATCTTTGGTTCTTTAGGCATTGAACAAGGCAGAGTGTTGATATAGCAAACAATTTTATTAACTCAGAACAGAAGCATCCCTAAAGGCTGCTGCACAGCTATTTATACAGTTAGCCTCTAGAGTGGCAACCAATAGGTTTAAAGAAACAATTTCCCGCCCCAAACCTCACTTTCAACTTGGAGATAGCCAGTCTGGCTTTCAGTAACAACAACTGTTAGGTCAGACACTAAGCAAGTGATTTAAAACAGTTGTGGTCAATACATTTCACCCCTTCCCCCTAGATGGCTCAAACTCTCAATTGCTGGACATAATCCTGGAGATATTTAGGTGGCCTTCTTGACCATTCTGAATGCCTAGGGATTGGGAGGAAGGCATGGTAAAAATTCAAAAGGCCTAGGAAAGCCTGAAGCTCTCCTTTGACTTCGGCCTTGAGGCCTGTTGGATTGCTTTTAATTTGGATTCCACCAGATGAATGCCTGCAGCATCGATGCAGAAACCAAGGAACTCGGTTGACTCTACCCCAATCTTGCACTTTTCTTTTTTTAGTTTAAGTCCCCCATCGCGGAACCATTGAAGGATGGCCTTAAGTCATTCAGCCAGAATCTTATCCGATTCCCCAGCAATGAGGACATCATCAAAGAAGGGGCAAACCCCTGGAATTCCCTTGTACATGCACTCCATCACCCCCTGGAACAGTCCTGGGGCTACACTCCCCCCGAACTGTAGGCACTTAACCTTAAAAGCCCCATGGGTTAGAATGGTTTGGGCTACCGCCGTGGCCTCATCCATGGGCAGTTGTTGATAGGCCTGTGCCAAATCTAATTTGGAGAACATGCGGCCTCCTTGCAATGACACCAAAATATGGCTGACAACTGGCAAAGAGTATGCGTGCTGTTGAGGTGGGGTGCACGTATAGTCAGCACATATTCGCACTTCCCCGTTGGCCTTTAATGGTGTTACTATGGGGGTCTCCCACACCCCACTGTCTACGGGCTGCAATACCCCTTGTTCCACTAGCTTATCCAGCTCTGCATCGATTTTGGGGTTTTAACGCAAAAGACACTCTACGAGGCTTGATCCATATTGGAGTTACCAAAGGATCAAGCTTGAGGGCAATCGGAGGACATTCGTACTCCCCTAGACTAGAACTGAAAACATCCATGAACTCTTGGCAGACTGCAGACAGATCTGCCGCTTGTGTTCGGTGAATGCCAGTTCCTTGAATGCCCAA